CCTTAGAAGATCCTTCCCGTGTGCAGAGTGGATGCAGTCCTGCTGAAATCGCACCTTAAATAGTTGTCTAATTTTTTTGGAAGTCTGCCATTAGCAAAGAATCTCCATTCAGTCCAGTCCGTTTGAATGCTTTAAGTTCGTCACTGTTAGCAGTTTTTTTATATTGCTGTTGTTGCAGTCTCAGAACATCCACTGTGACCAGAAAATTATTGTTGTTATATCTTATTATTATTATTTTTAATAGCTGTATTTTGGTTTAGAATACGGCAAATAAATGCAAATTCATACAGGCTTTAGTGAGAGGGGACACCTGTGAAATTAGAAGAGCACAGAGAGCACCCCACCCCTCTGTACCTCTGTTTCCCATTAGCCAGCTGGGGATGCCCGGGATAACTGTGGTCACCCTGTGACATGCTGAACAAATGCCCCCCTTTTCAGCTGGATGGCAGTGACATTGGACGTGGATTTCCCAGGTTATACAGGAAGTCTCTAACAAAACACTGTATTGAACCCTGCTTTCCCAACGATCTGTTGAATTTTGCCAGCAAACAGAGGCAAACAAGAGCTGCTCTGTCTGCGCTATGGGTGACACTGCCCTTTCCCATTTTCCAGTGATCTCGCTGATTGCTCAGCCCCGGGAATAATTTTCTCAATTTAAAATGCAGTGCTAAGACCTTTGGGGTTTCTTCCTGTCCGTCTCATCCTCCTTTGTCCACTTATTCCAAAGAAAGACTCGATTGTGCCAGGCCAGGACGAGGAGGCTGGGCTGTCCCCCGCCGGGCCTACAGGCGGGCGCCGAGGCAGCAGCGCGGCCTGCTCTGGGGGGCAGTTGGGGGGCTCCTGCTCCTCTCCACAAGCACAAAACCCAAGTCCTTCGTTGAGCAACTCACATCTCGCTGGGGCAAAGGACAAAATGCTTAAAAACCTTGTGCAATTCCCTTTGTATCTTATGAAGTTATGGGGCTTTGCTTGTTCCATTTTGACTTGGGTCCTGTTTTCTTCCGCCCCGCCTTCTGTGTGTCTTCTGTGGAAGGATGGCCCGAGGTTGAGGATTTATTTGTTCTGTTTCTGGTTGACCCACTGGCACATCCCAACTTGTTGGAATTCAGAATTAGTCACAGTATTACTGGCTCTTTGCCTGGTTGGTAGGTAGCTGAAGATAATGCACTGGGGTTGGCAGATACAACAGGAGTCAGAGGCATTTGTGAGAGAAGGAGAGGTCAGGAGCTGGAGGGATTTAGGAACAGAGGGACCATGTCCATCAGGTGTGACCACAACCCATGCTGTGATGCAGTGTGGAGTAAGAGATTTATCATCATTTGGTATCCACAAGTTGGATTTATTGGTGTGTTGTTATATGCGTGTTGTTAAACCACCTCATTCATGCAAAGTATTCCCTCCTTCATCTGAGCTGTCATCTTCCACCTTTTGAAATGGTTGCTTTCCTTAGGCAGGGTCAGGATTTCTCAGGTCAAGGGCAGACCAAGGAGCCTAGCCATGGTTGCTGCTTAATCTTTTAAATGCCAGATCCATGTCGCTGCCTGGTGTGGTTTGCCTCCAGACAGCAGCTGACAGATCACACCAGCCCTGATCCGCCCTGAGATTTGGGAGCCACGGCGGGGTTCTGACTCCTACCCTGGTAAATCTGCTCCATTAATAGCTATCAAAGAGCCTGAAGTTTCCATCCGAACTTTATCTGGCTTTGCAACGAGCTGGAGGATTAGAGACCGTCACAGGGGAAGGGAGGGAGCAGCCGTGGCTCACCCGGAATAGCCTGACCTATGACGGCACGTACCAGCCTGGGGACGGGAGTTGTCCTGTGAGCTCACGGGTTATTAGCAGAGAGAATAGGCATGCCTGCAGTCAGCAGCACACCCAGGGCCATCTGCTCCATCCCTGTCTGGTTTAGGGGGTCCGGAGGGATCCGTTAGTACAGCTTGCCAGTATGGCATTGTTGGGAGAGCTGGGAGCAGGTCTGATGAGCAGCCTTGTGGAGCCATCATTTTATACTCCTCAGATGACTTTTACATTTGACTTCGGGGCTGATTGTACAAGGCAGATCTGTTTTTGAGAGAGGGTGGTGGGAGAACGTAATCTGTGCCATGGAGCAGCGCAGAAATGTTGTCTCTGCTGTATCATAGCAAGTAATGAGGCAGACAGCAGACTGCACGAGGCTGCCGTTTCCCCCATGCAGAGCTGCTCCTCAGCTGAGCATCACTGTTGCAGCAGAAGCTTTTTCCGCAGAGCCAGCCTGTGAGTTTGGAGCCCATTCCAGTGCCGAGTGTTTTTCAGGACAAATGCAGAGTCTCTCAGCACAGTGGTACAAGAGCTTCCCAGCTGACCCTGCACTCAGTGTGCCTGTCCCCTAGGGAGCAGTGGAACTGCAGATTAACTTCTTGGACATGTGGGAAGCAGGAGTGCAGGCCATCTCAATGAATGGTCTGAGGGTAAAGATGTACAGAGGCTGCTCTAAACCTTTGACCCCTGGCAACATACTCCAGATTCCTCTGAGTTAAACAGTCTCCTTCCCTGCAGGCCTGAAAACATCACATCTCCTGATTAGCCAGACAGATGTATTGTCCCATAAAAGACCTCCTTTATATCCATATCATTTTTCTTGATCTTCACTTTGGGAACTTCATTCTGCTTTTCAATTTGCAGCTACTGTTCTTGCTGGGCACTTACTGCTGATGGGCAGTTCTGGTGCGATGGCTTTCTTCATGTGCCAGACATACAGAAAGTCACCCAGCGGATGGAAAACCCTAGCTCCATAATGGATCTGGTACCTCAGGGGAGTACAGCTGACCATGGGGCCTTTGAGCAACATCCTTAGTAGAAGAGGCTCACCATGCCATTTGGGGAAGATGAAGCCATTTCAAACTCTTCATGCTTGTTGGAATGGCAGAGAAATGTGTAGCCTGAGCAGCGTTCCTGTGGCATGCACATGAGCAAAGGAGGCACCAGTAGCTGATGGAAGGGACTCTGCCTCTCCACCTTGTGCTGCTTTTCTTCCAGTCTCCAACAAGCTCGTGTGTGCCAGGGGCTTGAGAGGAAGATGCGAATACTCATGCTGTCTGCATCCTGCTGTGTAGACAGTTTACTAAGTGCATTAGTCATTCATAGCTGCAGTGCTTGCTGCTGTCACTTGAGCTGTGGAGAGCTGTGCTTCTAGCTGGAGGTTTTTGGTTCAGTCCTCAGTCACAAGCAGGGCAGTTCTCATGTGCGTGCGTCTCCCCCTCATCCTTTACTGCCACATGAATACCTCAAAGACTCTTGGATTTGAAGAGAGGCCACTGAACAGGGGGAGAATGAAAATCATTGATTCTCTCCTGGACATTCGATCCCAGCCTAAATAAGGGGATTTCTGAGCTGAATGGCTACGCTGGTTTATTGTGCGCAGCTTTAGAGACAGTTACTGCAGACAGGGGTAAGCTGGGGAATGTGAGAGAGAGGGGAATTGAGATTAGCCTCAGAGACGTAACACAAATACCCTCCACCCTGCCTGTGCATTAAGGTGAGAGTGGACCAGTAGGTGAATGTTGCATCCCATTTCATGGGCTGTCTCAGTGCCATTTTGGGGACTGAAAGTACAAGTCTGATCCCTGCTCTGCAGGAAGATAACCCTCCTCGTGTTCTCTGAAAGGATCTGCAGGTTGCAAAAGAAGTTGGAAGAAGCTGGTTTAGGTGGCTGTCACAGTCAGCCCATCAGAGGGTCTGGGCTGGAGATGCTTACTAGTGGCCTCCCTGTAGACCCAATGGCAACAACCTGCACCTGCTCCTTCGTTTGGGTTATCTGAACTTGGCAGTTGAGATCTATGGATAAAGGCCTGCTGTGTTCAGCAGAGCAAGAGAGACTTCTGCTTTCCAGTGCTTTCTGTCTCTGGCAGTCACGCTCTTACCAGACAGCACGCCCTTCCTTGTCCAAGTGCTCTTGCAGCACCCTTTCTTGCCCACCTTTGGCTCCCCAGAATCTCCTCTGGCTGAGGACTGGGTAGGCTTTTCTGCATTTTTATTGGTTCTGCAAGACCAGACTTTCTTTTGGGCATGATCAGGTTTTATTTTTGATTATAAAATGTGTTTTAATCAAGCTTAACCAGCTCTAGTTCGTACTTTTTTGTTTTCCTGCTGCGAGAGTTGCTTGGGGCACAGCAAGTAACTGCTGCCCTTCTCCGCAGCTGCAGTTTGTCTGGCCCTGTTGTGATGGGACCTGCCCTCCTGCCCCAAAAGTGCTTTGTTCAAAGCCCTGGAGTGACCCACTTAGCTGCACAGAGATTATTAAAAGAGAAATGTGATAAGGGAAGTAGTCTGATAAGGATTTTTTGCAGGCTGTGGGGAGCTGTGCTGTGCAGAGAGGTGGTGAGAGGAACAGGGCTGGCTGCTGACACTCAGATGTGACACAGTGTCCCATAGACTCATGGTGCGAGGTCCCCGATTGCTCTCAGCAGCCAGCTCCTGCTAAGCATGTGCATAGTGAGAAGAGGAGGAAAGAAGATGGACTTTCACTGCTCCATCCATATTCTCTTTCTTAGGATGTCTATGCACAGCTTTATGTGTTTGAGAGCAGCACACTCCAGCTGTTCCAGGAGCAAAAATCCCAGCCTATCTGGACTAGTCTCGTGTTAAACCAGGATGAGCATAACCACAGAACATGAGGTGTATGAGGGATGTGGTTTGTTTCTGGTTGGTCTAGGAGATTGATAACTGGGTCACTACTGCCTTGTTTGCAAAAAGCGTTAGACATGTGAAGAGCAAAGAAAGTTGTGCTCTTCTGTGCAGCAGAGTATTAGAGATCTGAGTGCATTCTGATTCATCTGCAAGTCCTTTTTCAGATTGTGACTGTGCAGAGAAATACTCCAGAATTTCCGAGTAAAAGAATAAGGGAGACATTTTTTAACCTTCTTTCTTTCAGCCTCATGAGCAAGAACTTGCAAGTGTTTCTTTGCATTTGCTTTGTTATAGCTGTGTTTGAAGTCTCCCATCTTTTTTCTCTCTTTCTGCAGGTCCTTCAGAAGCTTGGCAAAGCAGATGAAACGAAAGATGAACAGTTTGAGCAGTGTGTGCAGAACTTCAACAAACAGCTGGTAAGATAATTGGAGATATGTAATTACACCCAGGGTTTCAGTATTAGTTTCTAATCATCTCCTACAATATGCAATTAAAGCACATGAAATTAAATGATGCCATAGTCATATTGAAGTGACCCACAACTCTTAACTGTTTGCTTACAAGACTTCACACTGTATCTTCCAATTCTGCTATCATGGAGTGAGTGAGTGTATGCTAAAAACTAATTCTAGTTCTGGACCCAAGTTTTGGGGAAAAAATTACTTCAACCAGAACATCTTCTTCAGTTAACATCTGCTGTGCAGTATAGTTTTTTTCTGCTGGAAACAGGCATAAGAACAACATTGCCTCTCTGAAAAATGGATAGGAGAGGAAACAGATTAAAAAAAAGAAAAACAAAATGGAAAAATGGTAGATTCAGTTTCCAAAGAGCAAAAGAGAGGCAAACAAAGCAAATGGTGAAAAGGGAACATCCTTCAATGGATAAGATCTAAATCTAACTTCCTCTCCATCTTTGCACAATCCCTGCGTCAAACCCGAGTCATCATTCTTTTAAGTGTCTGCTTCTTGCTTCTATTGTAGCACACAAATATTTTAATAATGTAGCAATTCCCCCTGCCATGGACAGCAGTAGGATTATGTCTTGACCTGGGATATGTTTTTATAACTGAACTTTCAGCCACCCAGAGAAGAGGAATTTACAGGGCTGGCTGAAGCACAGCCGTGCTTGGTGTTAGGGGAAGCGTTGCTTCTGTTTCATGGCAGGAAGTGCATGCAACACCAAAGCACAGGTGGTGCTAAAGAAAACCTTTAGACCATTTGTTTCCTGACATATCTAAAGCCTTTTTTTTTTTTTTCTTTTTTTTCCTGGAGCTGTTAGTGGCAGCTGCATCATGTCTGTTAGGACTCAGCAGATGTGATTCTAAGTCCCAAAATCGGCTGAGCCAGGATTTGCCACAGCTGAATATAATGCAAATCTTTCAGTCTGACTTGGACTTGTGTCTAACCAAGGCTGACTACAGATTCCTGGAGACTAATGATCATTCTTTTGGCAGCAATAGTAGCTGTTGCTTCAGAAGTATGTGCAATGTCTCTATAGCTTGTCTACCAATGGTATTCTCTAGGACACACGGGAATACAGTTTGGCTTCCTTCTGGGGACATGACGTTGCCAGTTGTGACTTTTCCATATCACTGTTGAGACCAACTATCAGCAATTAGGAAATCTCCTTTTTAAGAAGAAAAACTCGGATTCAAACCTTGATCTGGCTGTCCAGAATGGCTGTTCAGTTTCCAAAGCTATCAGTCCCCATGGTGCATTGAGAAGCCTGTTAAAGAAGCACGACCTCTGTACCCCTTACAGCTCAATTTCTTTTGCCGTCTTGCAGGGACAGGCCATGAGCTAAACTCTCCAAACAATTTGTCAAAGGCTGCTGTGCATTTGCTGCTCGTGGTCTCTTGGTTTTGTTTTGGCCCTCAGTTTCCCTATCAGTAAAATAAATGCAGGCAATGCCTGTTCTACAGGGTATCTACATAAAAGTGAGTTAGCTGGATTGTTATCTAGAGACCAGGAATTACGGTGCTAAGGAGACTGGGGAAACAACGTTAGCTGTATGTGCATATAAAGCCACTTGCTTCCATTTTCATGTATGCAATATGTGTGTATGGTATGGTGTGCGTGAGAGCTCCGTGCCCTTTCCTTACAAAGCGTGCTCCAGTTGGAAGCATTAAGTCTGGAGGAAAGGTGAGCTTTTGCTGTGGGCCTGTAACAGAATAGCTCTCCTGGGGAGCTGGCTGGGGTGCAACCAGAGGGTTATTGACACAGGAGGGGACCTTTGAAAAATATCCTGGTGGCACTGGCCTTGTTTGCTCAGTTGGTTGGAGGCTCCTCTGACTCTAATGACTGCTGTGGGCCACACTGACACACGTTCCTGGGAGGGGGGAACTGTCAATGAATGGGGAGCAGGTCTAAAAATAGTTTATTATTTCAACTAAGGCATCTTGTGGTTCTCCCAAATGGTGGATGAGTGGACATGAGGGAAGGCATTGCATTTTCCAGAGGGTTCTCCATTCAGGTTCGTATGAGATCACCACTCTGAGGTCTCAGAATAGTGGCAGCTTTTTAGATCTCAGACAGATGGATTTGCTACATGACAAATGAGCTGGGCATAACAATGCTGCTACAGGGCTCCCCTGTGTCTCTTGAAGGCCCACCGAACAGCACAGTTGGCCCACGTATTACTCCCTCACAACAGGTTATCTCTGGCAATTAGCCTCCCAGCTAGGTCATTGGAAGGTTCCTCTCCTTCCCTGTCCCAGTGTCACTTGTGTCCAGGCACCAGCACAAAAGCAAATTGTCCTCGGAGACCTGGGAGCAAGAGACCTGAGATGTGCCAGGCACTGGCTTCTCTTCCCCTGCACTTGAAATGCTCCCGGGAGGGAGGGAGCGAGGGGGAGGCTGGTGGCAGCCCTTACACCTGGCACAGCCGCTGGGTTTGATACCTTCGGGAGCCGTCCCTCGCGTGGAAGATCTGGGTTGGTTTACAGCGTTTCACAACGAGTGCCCGGGAGACAAGCTGCTGCTGGCACGGGCTGCACCATCGCTGCCCACACTTCACAGTGCTCGGCTCAGCCTCGGGGCAGGCTGCGCAGCTCTGAGTCCCCGCGGGGTCCCGGGTTTAATCTTTGTTCTCACAGTGTAGGTTTGGCTGTGGATGCTACACCTCAAACCCTGTTTGCGAGCAGAGAGGAAGCACGCCACGTACATAAGTAAATCCCACAATGTATGGTTTGTAAAACTGAAATCATTATTTAGTCCAAAGCGAATTGTTAGAGAAAAAGAAAAAGAATGCAGTTAAAACTGTGACATGCTTCACTCCTACGCATCTTCCTGGCGTCGTGCTTGCCCTTCCACTGCTCCTCTGGGTCCAAAGGTCAGTGTTTGTTCTGGCGGTGGTGGGGTGCTGGAGTGAGCCGTCAGCACCTGAAGTCCTGCGCTGTCAACAGTGTGATGCTCCTCTTGGCAGTTCCGTCATTCTCTTTCTAGGATCTGATTGGCGACATTTTTGTATGTTTTCCAATGTGCCTTTGAGCCATCTCCTATGTCTTAATTTCTCAAGTCCTCTGCTGTCCTCGGAGACCTGTGTTCCTCTCCTGTGAGTCTTGTTATGAGACTCATAACTCATGCAACATAGAATAACTGCTTGTTACTGCTATCTATAAAAAAATACACAAAGAAAAAAAGAAAAAAACAACACGAGAAGCGCTTATAGCTGTGCCACACAAAGGTAACTAAAAGTAAAGGAAAGCAGCCATAATTACCAAGTCAATTGGAGAAATTGCTGTCGCAGCTAAACCAAGCAAAACAAAGTTACAGGCTGGCTGAGAAAAGTTCAGACAGGGCAAGATTGATGCCTCAGTTCTGAGGCCTTGCAAATTCAGTGCAAAGCCTGTGGCCTGTTGCAGAGATGGCCATACTTTTTTGCAGGGTTACAGGACACCTGGCACAGTGCCCAGAATTGCTAATTCATGTGCAGAGCTATCAAGAGCTGACTGTCAGCATTGGGAAAGCTGTGATGCTCTCCTCTTCTGCCCTGAGATAAGGAGCCGTGGCAGTCTGCTGGGCCCTCTGTCCTTGCTTCCTTGTTCAAGAGAGTGAGGGGTGAGAAGTATCGTCTGGAACAGTTGTCTGCTGTTGTAAAAATAATTGGCACAAAATCTCTTCTTTAGAAGTTGGGGGAGAATGTTTTTGGAAACTTGTCTTCTACCAAGAAACAGCTCTACTGAGAATTACACACATAAATAGTGCTGGGTGAAAGGTGTTATAAATGAAACACACACACACACTCCCCAAATAAAACAAGAAGTCCCCAAAATACTTTTGTGTTTTTCTTTCACAGAGTTATAAGTAATATGTAGTTCATTTGGGCTTTGAAGAGAGAGCTCTTCCAGCTGCCCCAGTGTAACTCTTCAGTGTTTAAATATCCACCTTCCTGCACGTACAGCACTTTGTATTATACCTGGTTGTGTTTGTTGCATTACACTGATTGCAAGCATGGCATTTCTTTCCCAAACATCTTTAGGGCCAACCATACCCTATAACTTCCCCTGCACACCCTTAGACCTCCTGTTCTTTGATAACTGGGAGCTATATTCATTTTTAAGATTCTAGTTTCACTCTCTTGTCTACTTTTACTTCGCAGTGTAGGAAGCATCTTCTGTGCACTCAAGGGTACAGAAAGCTTCTGTACAGCATTTGACAGTGTCTAACTACTTCGTGAGAGCTGTTTATGCAGAATTGTGGCTGTATGTGACAGCCTGCTTCAGCCTGCCTGAAGAAAGCAGGTGGTGCACGCATGGAGAGAAAGCATTTGCCAGAGTTTCTTGGGAAAGCATTAATGTTTAAAACAATGAAGAGAAACCCTTGTGGCAGCGAAGGAGGGAGCTGCTGCATTGATGGCAAGAAATAAAACAATGGAAATGCCAAAAAGAGACTTGGAGGGAAGCTCCAGGTACAAGCCACCCAGGTGCCTAGGAGAGCTGGGGTTCTTGAACAAACTGAGAGTTGGGCCTCTCTTTGAGTCGTTCTGCTTACAGATCTTACAGGCTATGAAGACTATCCAGTGTCTTAGCAGGCTAAGGACTTTGAAAGTAAACCCCAGAGCCTTGGAGAGCCTTCAGCAAGGGCTGGCTGAAAAGCCCCCGGTGGTTGCAGGGTACAGCACTGCATACAGGCCAAAGGCACACCGTGGTGGCACAGTGCCTGGCTGGGGCATGTGCTTGGACAAGGCTACCTGGGCATGGCTGTAATTGCACCCTCCAGTATTTGGGCCTCGACTTGCAGTTTTTTCAGGTGACCTATCTGAAAATCTGTCCTTGTCGATTTGATGTTCGACTGCAGTGCCAGCGGACCTCTCAGAGATCCTTTTGTTACCCTGACTTTGGGACTGGCGTTTAGTCTTGAATAGTCCCAGGGTATCAGGGTTCTCTCACGTGCTGCTGTGGCAGGACTCAAGGCTGTATGGGCACAATTGTAAAGGTGGTTTCTGATTTCAGGTGCTATAGTTTTCAATCACAATTTAAGGTGCTGTGGAACCCAAGAGTGTGGCAGGCAGGTTCTGCAGCAGACCTTCCCTGCCTCTGAGTTTTTGATAACCTCAAAGTTGCGTGTTTGAATTTAGTGATTCTTTAAAAACAATACAGCTGCAAGGTGAAAATGTATACAACTGAGGGGTTTTGCATGAGGGGTTTTGCTTCTGTGCCATTTCTTCTCTGATGTGACAACTGACCTTGCCAGTTCCAGTCTGTGGTTTCTAGCATGGACCCATTCTAAGCAAAGTCATCACTGCTTTTCTCTAAGCCCTTCTTGCTTGCTGTTTTGGCCACAAACTCATACTACTGCTGGTCAGCTCAGCCTCTCTGATGGTCGTCTGTGTATTTGATTACTGGCATCTCATCCCTGGTGGTTTCTGATTGCACCACAAGGGAGTTTCATCTGCCCAGGTTTCCCCATTCACCTTAAACCAGTAGAGCTCTACATTTGCTTGCTTTGTATTCTAAGGCCTCCTAGGTCTTTTGCAGCAGATATGGTCACTGTCCCTTTCCTTTTGTGCTCTCTTTGGGTCACTTCCCAATGCTTCTCCATCCAACTGGGAGTCTGGCTTCTTTTTATAAAGGCAGCCAGCTCTTTGCCATCCCTCATTTCCTTTGTTGCTGTCAGTAGGAAGAGAACAAATGTGAATTCATCCAAACTTTTGAGGCAAGGAACTTTAATCAGGTGTAGTGCTTGGAAGCAGATGGATTTCTCCACAAAGATATGCTAGCACTGCCACTTCAACTGCTGGGCAGATTTAGCCTCTGCTTAGAGAGCACAGCTGCACTGAGAGCCCAAAGGATCAGGGCATGAGCTTGGTTGAGGGAAGAGGTGGCTGATTGGTGGGGAAAGCTGATGGGAAACATCTGCTTGTAAGGCTATTAGCTCTGAGGCAGCTGTCAGAGAGGTCCTGTGAGCTCCCTGTCTCCGGAGTTGTCTTCAGCTGTCAAAATTAGTTGTGCTGGGGGCCCCCCCATGGGACAAACTGGGAAGGAAAATGAGGCATGGCAGCAGGCTGTGAGGAAGGGGTGCGATGTAGCTGTTGCTTTCCCGTGTCCTTGTTTTTACAGCTACTTGGGGAGATGGTGAGGATCCAGTGAGATCCCACAGAGAAAGGGAAGTCCCTTTATAACAGAGATCTCTGCCTTTCAAACTTCTCTGTACTCCTTGAACACCCCAGCAGTTGTATCTCTATAGGTGTCCTCTGGTTTACTCTTTCCCATGCTTTGACATCCTCTGTGGTGGTGTTGGTGGCCTCTTGTACCTACTTTGCACTGGGCTTTTGGTTTGCAGTGTTATAGGAAAAATTGGTGAGCTAAACTGCTCCCAAACCAGTTCAAAATAAGACAATTACATTTATCTCCCATACCCTACAGACACCCTTCCGTTACATGTGTTGCATAGACCTACTAGCCCTTGGCTTACAAACTAATTTTCTTTTGGACCCTGTCTAGTTGCCAATATGAAATTAAAATGTTAAAATTGGCTCTGCCGCGAAGAGCAAATCACACTTTACCCACATCAAATTGCTCAGTAGTTTGGTGATACTGTTGGCCAAACATGCATGCAGGTCACCAGCTGTGGACCTACAAAGAAGGCTGGAGGGCCGTGTGGTTTCCCTGTTAATATTTGTGTAGGCTGGTTAGAGTGCTGATGTTTAGTTTATCTGCAAGATGATTTTTCTTTATTTAGAAATGTTGGACTCCTCCCTCTTACACTGTCTTTGCATGGAAGGATAACTGGTGGTTTTCTTGTTTTCACAGTCTGAAGGCACGAGGCTGCAGAAGGATCTCCGAACTTACTTGGCTTCCGTAAAAGGTAAGATCAGTGTATGCAGAAAACTGTTTCTGCTCAAGACTTACCTGTGCAGTGAGGCTTTTGCAGCCATCCCCTTTCTGGTGTTTCCTATCCCAAGTTTTAAGGAAAGGTCCACCTTGTCTGGGTGGGGGATCTCTCAGACTTCCTTCAGGATTTGCTGAGATGGGATGGGGTTGTGCTTTAATGCCAGGCTGGTGTGAACACAGAGGATTTGATGCGACTGCATCCTTTCTCCCTCTGGTTACCTGCCTTTTCTGTGTTGTCCAGGGGCAGACATCCCATACGGAACAGCTTAGCATTAGTTGTAACCCATTCAACATCTCCTGTGTCCCTGTTCCTCAGGGTAAGGGACAAAGTGTTTCCCCATTTCTGAGGCATTTACCTCTTCTTTCCTAGCTATGCATGAGGCCTCGAAGAAGCTGACGGAGTGTTTGCAGGAAGTTTATGAGCCGGATTGGCCTGGGAGAGATGACACAAACAAAATAGCAGAGGTAAGACTCAGCCCAGGATGTGGGCTTACCAGGCTTGGTGTGTCAGAGGAGATGGGCTTTGGAAGCTGTGTCTGTGAGCTAAATTCCTTCAGACACACAGCTTTACAGCAGTAATCAGAGAGACAAACTCAGCGTTGGGAATAAGGGAAAGCTGAAGGGATGTGGCCTGTATTTTTGTCTGTGTGGGGCACTGTTTCCAGGTGCTTGAGTGGTGCAAAGAGCCCTGTACTTAACGTCCACAAGCAAATTTGTTCTCTCAACAGTCGCTAAACAGGGCCAGGGGATGCCAATGAGAGTCTGTAATAGAATCGTCTGGATATATTGCTCATGCTTCATGCAAGAGGAATGGAAACCTAAAATCTATGCCCAAAGCATGGTCAGTCCAGCCAGCCATTGTGTAGCTGCAGTCACCCTCCTACTCGCAGCAGTATCGCCAGCTGCCATATTTTGCTTGCCATCCTGTTTGTCTGAGCCATATTTCACCCCAACCTGCTGTTCTCATCCCTCAGTGAGGTGATGCCTGTCCAACTTGCCCAGGTGTTTTCTGTGGAGCTTAGGGCACAGCCTGTCGTTTGACATCTTGGATGCCCCTTGGCTTGTGTGTGTGGTGGGTCCAGCTGGAAGCAGACACCCTCTGCTCTCTTGCTCAGCTGTTCAGCTGAGCAGCAGCTGTGGCAGTTCAGCTCTGTGGATCCATCTGCCATGAGGCTGCAGGACAGAGCTTATCTGCAGCTGTTTATGATGTTGAAGCAGTGGGGAAGGCATTGGGAGAAAAGCAGGAGAAGGATTCTTCCCTTTCTTCTGCTTTCCCTGCAGAATTCTCATGTGAAATAACATTTACGTCTTACCCAGGAAATACTGACTTCAAAGCAGATAAATCAAAAAAAATACTGAATGTTTCCAGGTCAATTCTTGCATTAACATGGAAACTTTCCATTATGAAGTGGTCTTGCAGTAAATAACAAAGTTGTAATTTAGTTGGTTTGGCTTCACATTCTTTGTTGGCCTTGTTTCTTTCTGAGCTGCTGTGTTGCTTCCTGGGAGACTGTCCCATCAAAGAACTGAAGCCAGAGAAGTCAAAAGAAGCACGAGTCCTGACAAATACCTGCAGCTACTCTGAGAGGCTGCAGGAATATTTCCAGCCTCCAGCTCCCCATTTAATGCCTTTGTGTCATTTGGGAAAAGGGAAGTGGGAGATGAGTGCTATTCCTGACAAAAAACAAAAACAAACCAACCAACCAACCAAACAAACACCCTGAAATTCCACCATATAGAGGACTTTTTTTTTCTTGAATGTTTAGTCAAAACTTTTTGGAAAAAAACGGAGAGAGTGACAATTTGGAAAAACAGGAGGGAGTGACAATTTCCACCTAATCCAGTGGAATGGGAAGTTAGTGTGGCTGAAAAAAGATGAAGGATGCACAGGGTGAGGTGCAAGCCTTGAACACAACCTCCATGGGGCCAGATGGTATGAGGGCTGAAGAGTGTTGCTATGGCTTTCTGCTATTCATTATCTTTCAGAAAGCTGTGTTAGAGCAAAGAAGAAAATGGTGCCCAGTGGTGTCAGGTGTCCCATTTTTGTGGCTGCTGGAGGAAGGGGTCTTGGAGGAGAAGGTGAAGGGAGCCTGATGTTCATCTTCCATTCTGCCTTATGGACTTGGACTAGCACAGTAGAGGAACGGACAAGCCCTCAGTGGAAGCCTCATGAAGGGTGCCGTGTCTGTGGGGAGGTTGTCTGAGTTAGCAGCATCAGGCTTTCTTTTTTGTATCTACATTTCTGCCGTGATCTCAGTTTTCAATTAACTTTTCTGCTCTTCAGTTTTTCCTAAGAAGTGACTATTTCTTAAGAGCTCTGGGGACTGAAATTGTTATCTGCAGCACTCACTGAGACAGGCATGAATGCAGAGCTCTGTGCTTTTAACAGTTTGCTCATGACTTTTGTTTTTCAGAACAATGACCTCCTCTGGACGGATTTCCATCAGAAGCTGGTGGATCAGGCGCTTCTGACCATGGATACTTACCTTGGCCAATTCCCAGATATTAAAGTAAGATTCTCCTTAAGCCTTTTGATCTAGAGTCACAGCAGATGAAAATTCATAAGAATCAGTTCCCTGCAACCCCATGTTCTTTATGTGCGTGCTGTGCTGTTGCACACTTCGCTTTCAGAGCAGCCACGATCTCTGCAGCCCTGGTTTATGTGAAAATGCCATGTTCTCCTTTGAGCTTGAAGCAACAGAGTGAAGAATCCAGGGGAAAGACGCTGATGAAAAAACATCAGTACAAAACTAGAGGATCCGTACAAAACCCTGCTGTGTCACAGTGCAGGAGGGTAGTGTCAGCAACAGCTCACAAGCTCTCAGTTTCTCTTTCCAGTCTTTTGTTGTGGCTTTTTTTTTTTTTTAAAACTTCCCTGTAAGTACAATGTGTTGAGGAAGCGATTAGTGGCAAATGTACTTTGTACGTAGAGGCTGGTGTGGAAGGCAGATTTCTGTGTTCCCTGAAGTCCTGCTGCACATATTATCAGCTCTTTGCCAGGAATGGGAATGCTGAATGTATGTCTTTTGGAGAGAGGTTGTATCCAAGGACCTGGGTTTGAATGATGTTATGTAGGTTCCCCTTCCGCTGTTGTCATCTCGCCATTCGTTTTGAGAAGGTTATGCAGGAAATGTCTTCACCATATGGAAGTGCTAATAATGATATCACCATATGGGAAATATCAGCTTGGCTTCTTCCCAGTGAAAACAACCCTTTCCCCACCACATGGCTCTTAAAACGTTTGTCAATATTTGTTGCTCCAGGAGGCTTGTGCTGTATCAAAGCGGGGCAGGTCACAGGCTTGAAAATAAGCCCTGAACAGCAGTGTCACTGCCTCCTGGGGCTCCTTGGTTTTGCTTCATTTTTCCAGCATTCTCTGTTCCTGGAAATCCAAGGTGGGGAAGGGTGAAGAGGCTTGCTGTTTCTTTCAACCCGCTGAAGGCTGTAGTGCTGATCACAGCCCATAGTGTGAGCCTGTGCAGAGGTTTGTGCACTGTTTCTTTAGCAGGAGGTTTTGTTTCAGGCTCTCTGTAGACTCAGACTTCTGCACTGCTTCTGACTAAATAGTTTTTTACCAGCGTTTTGTGGCTGTGCACTGGGTAACCTCAGTGTCACATTTCTTCCGTGCTTATTACTGATATCACGTTCTCAGTCTTCAGGTGATACTCTAGAAAATGGGAAGTTAAAACACTTCTGTGCACAACTGAAAAAAATGCTTTAAAGAGAGCACTGCTGTCCTATACCTTTCCTCCTAAAGTGAGTGAGAATTTGGGTTTCTGTCGGTTCCTACAGTAAGATATGGATATATTTCACTGCATTCGCCATTTGTTTAATGTTTTCATTGGTATGCATTTAAAAAGGTCAAGATGGTTTTTGGTAGTTCAGATGGATGTGGTGTTCTCCTTACCACAGAGCAGTGAGAAGTGCTCAGGTCAGACTTGGTTTCTTTGACTGGTAGAAACAACTGTAAGACTGTTGTTGAAAGTTGAAGCCAAACTTCAACAAGTTTGTACAGTTGTACAAAAGTATAGTTTGGCTTCAAGTAAGGAACTAAAGTTCTAGGGGGTGGCATGCAAGAAAGAAAAAACAGTCATATGTAATTAATAGAATACTTCGGTGTTTTTTTGTTGTGGGAATAGTTTTCTGGTTTGTGTTTTCTGCAAAAACAAACTTTCTGCTTTCCATGGAATTCTAGTATTAGGATGATGAGAAAAATTGATTTATGGAGAGAAGATGATTTTAATTGAATGATGTGAGAGCCTAATTTTTGTTAATGGCCCAGTAATTCAAATGTGTGACAAGTTAGATCATGCACGTGGTGTTTGTTTGTTGAATTCTAACACATTCTGAATCTTCTTTTGCTGAAGAAGGCTGGAAAGTTCCCTTGAATTTTTTGGACCTCCAACAGGATCCACAGCATGAATGTGAAAACGTAGTATTCCTTTAGTAAAGAGTTTAAGTTAAAGGGAAACATTTTTCAAGTTTGGCAGGGGGGAGTGAACAAAATCTCTCTGTCTTTTCTAACTTGAGGAATGGGAACACAAAAAGTCCTTCATCCTTTCTTTGCGGGTCAGTATCTATAGCTTCCTGGAATAGGCCTCTTGTATAATCAATAAATATTTCGGAGTGAATTTTTGATTGGGGTTGCAGAGCACACCACGAGGGTACAGGTCTCTGCAGTGAGCTCAGGGAAGGTGGATCCTAACCTGAGTTCTGAGTAGCTGTGGAATTGGCAAAATTTTATCTTGCACTGAAACTGATGTGCTGTTTCTACTAGGCTTGAAACCAAGTATCAGTAAGGATTTATTTATTTATTTATTTATTTTAAATGGAGGCTCAAATTAAGATGAATATATTGCAAAGGAATAAAACACATCTTCGAGTTCAGCTTTTGCCGTTAGGTGGTGGTGGGCTGCCGCAGCTCTCCTGGAGAGCAGCTCTCCTGGAGTCATACAAGGGAACTACATACAGGTGGCTGTTTGCCTTGAGACAGAGATTGGCAAAACCCCTCTAAACTCCAGCTGTCTCTGCCAGCCTGATGTAAGGGAAATATTCATTCCCTTAGATCCCAGATCTGGAGTGTGTGGAAGATGCGTTAGCTCACATCTCAGAGACTGTAATGCTGCTGGAAGCCCCCTCCTACACCCTGTCTCCGTGCCCAGCTGGCAACATTTCCCAGGAGGGCAGGCTGCCACCAGGGTACTGGGAGGTGTCTTCTACAGCCCCTGATTGAGGAGTGGCTCGGCTTCTTCGTGATTCCTCTCCTGGAGCGAGCTGAGCACTCTGAAATCAGGCTGGGTGTGCGTGCGGCTGAGATCCTGCAGATCCTCGGTGACTCACACGGAGCTGCACCAGCGTTTGCTGGAAGCGCAGAGGAGCGTGTGTGGGAGACGTGCAAACTGGTCCCAGCTGCTCTGGCAGAAAGATCAGCCCCGAGCATGGTTTTGCAGTTTTATCTGCAGGAGCCTAGGGAGAGGAGACCACCTTTCCTTGCCAAGTGCAGGATTGGAGGGGGGGAATTTGCTTTTGCAAGTAAATCCCAGAGCTGATTCTTCAGTTTCTCTGAGTTGTGTGGTTAATTAGAAACCCTTCTGGCTCCTTTCTGTGTCATTTTTGTTCAAGTTCTCCAGTCTGTCTCTAGGCTGCAGATCACTGACACTGGACCAGGCCTCTCTGAGCCTGGGAAGACCTGTGCTCCAACCCAGATCGTCCGGGGTGTCTGTAAAAAGCACAGGAGGCAAGGGTCTCAGGGGGATTGGTGGTGCTTAAAACAAGGCTGCCCAGTGGGTCTGAGCCTCAATGAGGTGAAACTGGTGGGCGAGAGGGCCTGAGGGCACCTCAGGAGAGGGGGATGACAGAGGTATCACAGAGTAACAGGCCACAGCCGTGATGCTCTGAGGTCTGGATTCTCACCCACGGACCTGTCAGGATCCTTTTCCTGAGCGTGAGCCTGGTACGCAGCTGGCTCCTTCCTTGCCTTTGTAACAGCTTGGGACAAAAGGGGGATGTTGTGTATCTGTGATACAGTGCTACAGCTTCTCCTTCACGCTTCTCTTGCATAGTAGCTGGTTGTAATGGGCCATTGGCCGTGACTGTGGTCACACCAGCTGATAAACACAGTGCTTCTGTCTGGATCTCCGGTTGCAGGGTCTGAAATGCTGTCCTAGGCATATCCTGAGCATGTGGAGGAGTGCTTCTGCTGTGCTGGCAACAGAGACACTTTCTTGTGTTCTTCTTTTGAGTTTCTGCATGAACTAGGGCTGTGAGCTGGCTGGCTAGAGACTTGCTGCAACCCTTGGGAAAACGAAAAAGCAGAGGCTTAGGTGAGGCTAAATGAAAAATGGGAAAAGTCCTCTCCGGGCAACCTGTGTGGGGTGTCCAGTGGGTGTCCCTGTGCAGGCAGAGCATGCAGTGCTGTATGAGTTGGGTGGAGCTGAGGCGGGGGTGTTGCTGACAGTCTCTGTGGTTTTGGCTGCCAGGGAAGATTGTCATGACTCTTTTCTCCATCTTTTGTAGTCTCGTATAGCGAAGCGAGGAAGGAAGCTTGTGGATTACGACAGCGCCAGACACCACTTTGAAGCCCTGCAAACTGCAAAGAAGAAGGACGAAACTAAAATCGCAAAGGTAAAGCAAGCAAGAGAGGATGTGCAACTCTCCTTTCATTTGGGGAGGTCTGCTTTCGCTTAGTGAGCAGTTGTAAAGCACACCTGTACCTCTCTGCTGGACGTGCTTTGTTCAGAGAGATGTTGTGAACTGGTGGGGCTTGACTAGCTGTTTTCTTCTCACCTGTTTAATTCTCCTAGAAGGCAGGATGTGTTCTGCTGTCTTAGTTCACACCCACCATCATCAGCCAGCATCTGTCAGCAGCTAAGGCCTAGGCATGTTTTTCCTCAGATGCTGCAGGGACGTCTGTCAGAAAAGCCTGTGCGCCTCTGGGGAAGCAAAGTTTTGTAGTGCCACAGCAAAATTTTCCAGTTTGTCTGCTTTTTGGGACTCTCTGTCTCCCCATCTTAGATCAGCAGTGATAGCAGATCAGAGTGTTTGACTGTTGCTTGAGGTTGGTGGTATTTGTGAAGTTCTAGGACAGAGGCCTTTGGGAGAGTGAGTTACAAATTTATTGGTGCAAATGCAACCTATGTGCACTTGATGATCCTGTTCTATCATCTGCTGACCACAATTACTGGAAAATAAATAAGGCTGAAAGCAGGAAAGCAAGAATTTTGTCTTGCTAAGGCATGGCTTCTTTCATTTCAGTGTTAATTCTGGAGCATGCCCAACACACAAGTGCAGAATTTTATTTTTAATTAAAGTAAATTTCATTAGAAATAGAATTTAGGTAGTCTTTTAATTGTAGCTGAAGAAAGGTGGCAATGCTAACCTTGTTCTAGAGGAAGCTCGTGGCTTTAGGATAGCCCAGAAAATGAGCTGTGGATTACTCCTTTACCCCGAGTGGATTTGAGCCCACATGCTCCACACCACAGGACAAATCTTGACATGACAGGTCTAGTGGTCAGGAGACACCTTTCATTTCTCTTTAATATAGACCATGGCACATCAGGACTCTTGGGGATAGAGGAGTGCAGGGAAGGAAAAAAAAGCCTGAGCCTCTTTAATCTTTTAACAAGGCTGAGAAGGGTTGTCATCCTTTGCTTTGCAATTATTTCAGGTAGGAAGGATTTAGGCTATGTTGGAGACAATAGTATGGCTCTGGCATGGAAGGAATAAGGTGCTTCTCTTTCCCCAAGCAAAAAAATCTGCATTTACTAGCCAACTGACAAGTAATTTTATTTTTAAGCTGCCAGTCATCAGTCGTCTCCTCTCCTGGTGCATGCACTGTGATTAAGCCTGGCAAACAAAGGGGTGAAAGACTGATGGCTCAGGTGTCATTGCATTGTTTGTGTCTTTGTGGTTCTGTATTCAAGGCATGAGGCCCACGACAGACTTGATGTTGTCTGTTGAAGGCCGTACTTCAGTGTGTTCAGGGGTTAGAGAAGAATTTCCATGGGATGTGATACTATTTTTTGGTGTGTGCCTCTGGGATCTTTGCTGCAGTGGCACTGGTGTTTGTAAGAATTCATTTGCTCAGGTTGGTAGCTGGTGATCTGCACCCAAGAGGCTGGCCTTTGTCATTGCTGCACTCACTCATGTTGCCCCAAATGCTCACATAAGATGTGTTTTTGTCAGGGGATGTTTTGTTGTTGCTCTTTACTGTTTCCTTCATGTGTTAACTATGGTTTGGAGTGTGAAGTGTTGAGATGTAGGAGATGGTGCTCTGTTCCTGATTCAGTCTGTTCAAATGCCTTTTAGTACTTGGTCGGACCCTTCTCGTTAGCCAAAGCAGGCACTGCATCAGTTTTTTCCCCTGCTCTGTGCTGTAGGCTGTAAGCTCATGCACAGGTAATCTGTGATGCATCACAGTAGCTTGATCCTGTGATGGGATCACTGAGAGTCCCAAAAGTTGTGTGTGTGCGCTCTTCCCAAATAGGCAGCTTTCACAGCCCAGCCTCTCAGACCCACAGTTGTAGTCATGCACTGCACTCATGCAGGGAGTTCACCTCTCCATTTCTGTCACCCCAGTTCTGCTTGTGTGACCTGTGAAGTGGGTAAGGTGCAAGTGTAAGGTACTTTGAAATGTGACGACAAGCCCTGAGGAAAGAGAAATCTTATTTATAAATGACAGAGCTTACAATCACGAACTGACTTGAATGATGTTTCACGGTATTATGGTAATACAAACAGCATTGGAAATACTTTTTGGGGTTATGCAGTCTCTTTTTCTCTTCTAATTTACAATGTTCTTTTCCCAGGACTCCCGCCACTTACTGCTAAACTCACAACCTGCCATTAAATTAAAGTGCTGCGGACATTCAGCTGTTGCATGCAAATAATTACAATGGTTAATTAATCCTGACCTCTCTCCAAGGAGCTCCCACTTCACAGTCATGACTCGGAGTAGGGTTGTCTGTGTGCTAGGTCACTAACAACTATTATCTGTTGCTCTTTGCAGCTGCCTGGCTGGCCTACAGTATCCCAGCCCACACTGGAGCATTAATTACTGCTAAACTTGGCATGCTTTAAAGGATTCATAACCAATCAGTCCCAGGATATTTGTTGTTTTTTTTTTTCTCTTGCCTTGGTGACACTGGTTTGGTCCAGCTTCTAGATACAGTCTCTGTTGTGATTTTATTTTATTTTTTTATCCTAAAAATATATATATGTATATGTTTGTCTCTCTCTTGTTCTCTCTTTATTTTTTTCTCTTTTCCCTCAAACATGCTCCCTCCCCCCAGCCTGTTTCGCTGCTTGAGAAAGCTGCGCCTCAGTGGTGTCAAGGGAAGCTCCAAGCTCACCTCGTTGCGCAAACTAATCTGCTCCGAAATCAGGTGACTGCTGATCTACCTGCCTCTAACCCTGCATGCGCTATTTCGGGCTCTAGACTGTACTGTGCAACTAATCTCTAGGCAACGTTCACTCTAGTCCCTTCTGTTAGCGTGTCCTTGGTACTTCTGAGCCGCAGTGGACACACTGAAATCGATGAGACGTGGCTCTATGCCTGCCCTGCTGATTTCTAACCAGGTGTGGTAACTCTAGGCTGTTCTCTCCCCATAAAGTGAAATGGGGATGAAGAAAAGCTGTGGAATAATGCCACGGCAGAGGGGATATAGTGTAGTTCTGCCAGTTATTCCTTACCACACCTGTGGTGAAATACAAGTTTCTGAAATTGTCACTGGCCTGACTCTGCTGGCCTAAAAGAGCCCTCTCCAGGTACGTAGGGGTTCGGTCTGTGTAGAAGAGGAGGGAGCAGAGCAGGGAACTCGCACCCCTCAGAGCTCCAGGCTGAGGTCATAGTTGTGTCATGAAAGCTTGTACAAAAGATTGTACTTCTTTACATTCTTTATCAGCGAGTGCATTGCAGTTTGTCAACATAATTGGTCTCACCTTATAAAGCACCTGGGATTTTCACAGTCAGATTATGATGGAACATCTGGCAAAATACCATGTTACCACACAAATAAAGCCTGGGAATGAATGGCTGTGAGCAGCCCTGCTTAGAATGCATGGCAAAGTGAGGAAGTAAGTATTCGTTCTTGACTGAAGGGAGGACATTTGACAGGCTTCCCAAGGCTTTTCCTGTGCCTTGACCGTGCTGGAAATTATCTCTTTGGCTGTAGATCTTGACTGATCTGTTTGCCTGGTGGTCATTTTGGAGGACTAGAAAGCAGGTGCAGGATGTTTCTCAAATCAGGTCTTGGTCATTCTTTATCTTTTCAAACTGGCTGGAATGACTGGGGGAAATACCACCTCCCACACACTACCTGCAGAAGCAGTACAGAAGCAGCATGAGGGCTCCCTCATCCATTGTGTTGTGATCTGAGGGTGCTATGAGTCAGCTGATAATTTCTGTCTGCTGGGTGACTTTGCCCTAAAGCAGATAACAAGGATGTGCGTAATCTTTCTAGCAGCTGTATTGTGGGGGCTTTAATCTCCTGCTAAGTGGCATTAGTATTTTCAGTCACCCTGTAATATCAATTTAAGTCCTCCTTTAAGTTTTTCCTCTTGCATTCCTTAAATAATAGTATTGCTAACCTCAAGTTTTTGTTTCTAATTGTGTGAGGCTTTTTTTTTTTCTTTTAATTTTGATTTGGTCTAACCTAAAAATCTAAGGAGGAAGATCAGTTTGTATTCTGGACCTGTGGGTTTCCCAGCTTTTCTTAAACACCAGCAGGCAGAGGGTTTAAAAATAGAAAGCTTCAGTCTTTGTATTCACATGACTGTAAGACTGAAGGTGTTAATGGCAACCCTAAATCTCATTAAGCTCATGGGAAGAGCAGGAGGGCTGATGACACTGCATTTATTGAAGAGCTTCAGAATATTATGCCTAACAAAATTTCCTTCTATGTACCAGCAGCTGTGTTGCTGTCTCTTGTCTGATAATTCCTATTACTATATAACCTTCAAGCAAAAACGGGGTCAGCAAGATTTATTTTTAATGCCAAAAAAAAAAAAGTCCCTCCCTCCAGTGTTTAGACCGCTGGCTTTTTGGGCCTTTCACAGATACTAGCAAAAACAAGAAATCCAGGGGCGTTCCTCTAGTCTCCTGGGAGGTTTGCTTTTGCGAGCTCTCAGTTACAAATTCTGGTGACTGTGCTTTTTGAAACAAAGGGGGAAATAGCTTAGAACAGCAAATTCCTGACTTTTTTCAGGCATCCCTGAAATGCTGACTTCAGACCAGAAAGCAATATCCTTGGCGCTGCAGTGACAATGGAGCAGTGCCTCTGTCTATAGGGGAGAGCCAGGGAGTTGGGCCCGGGGCTGTGATCCCTTTGAGGGGAGAGGCAGCACTGGCTGGGACTGATGGGGCTGGCGTGGGGTGCCCAGCTGTCCTTACCCCTGCCTCGTGGATTGCTGGTTCCTACAGCTGCTCTAGAGGGAGCATTGCCTCTTGCTGACTTTGCCTTTGCCTCAGGATGTCACAATATTGACACGTTGCTTTCTAGGTTCTTTGGCCTTCTGAACAGGTAAACGAGAGAGGGAAAGATTTACTGATGTTCAACATGTCTGAAAAACTGACAGCATTCAATGGTGCTTCATGTCCCAGCTTTCCCATCTCCTGGGGTGGTTGTGGTTCCAGTCTATAGTGGAAGCTAGTATGAGATAAAACCGAAGGTTGGAATGGGATTTTTTTTTTCTCTTCTTTTAAAATGGCTGCATTGGAAACATTTGGTCATGGGGGGATTTTAAGGCAGAATGAGTCTTTTGTGATTATCAGCTCTGATCCAGCATAAACTGTGTCTCCGTTTAAATGGATTTTTTGTTTGCTTGGTGCAAACTCTCTCAAAGCATTGGGTTTCACAACAAGTGTAGCAGCAAAATACAGGGATTTCTGGATGGAAACATCCTGATCCCTTCTCCCCTTACCTGTTCCTTACAGGGACTGCTTAAATTTTGAATACCAGTTGTTTTGAATACCCAGTTGTGGTGTCTTTTTCTGGGGCGAAGAGCCTCTTCTGACCTTGAGTACAAAGAGCCTTTGGCAGCAATGAGTGACCCTCTGAAAGGTGAAGCTAGTTGGAAGTTAGGAGCTTCTGCTCCTAAGTCAGACAAAAGATGGAGAATTTAAGGATCCTGCACAACACTGTGAGGAACAGGACTCTGAACTCCACAATATTTTTAAGTCCTTTCTCCTGTCAGTCCTGTCTTTACACAGACCTGGCATTAAGGAGCAGCAAGTTGTGGATTTATTTAGTTAAGCTGGTGCAAAGAAGATAAAATTTCATTTCAAAGAAGGGGTGAGAATCTAACTGGAGGTGCGAAGAGCGACCTGGTCCCTAGTGGCTTGCTGGCTCTTCAGAGCATGTTGTGACATTCCTGCTGTTGTCACGCTTGAAGGTAGGCACTGGTGCTGAGTTTCCTGTTAAGAAGCATCACCAAGGGGACATGCAGGAGTTTGCTGTCCTGCTTCCAGCTGCAGAGTGCTGTGCTGTTGCAAACTAGAGGATATAAACATTTTATTTAGCAAGCTTGCAGTTTTAAGTCAGGGCACTGAAAACAGGGAAGGAGCCATCAAGGACTGATATGGGAAGGGGAACATGCATGTTGCTGATGCTTGCTGTCAGCAACAGAAACCAGGTTCGTCATTTCTGTCTCTGAAAGGTACCAGAATTCATGTATCGTTGCTGGGGTCTGTCAATGTCTGTGTCAAATGGATCAGATCAAATTTAAACTCTTTGGAAGTAAGAGGTTCTGTATGAGGGATATTTCCTTTGTTGTTGGTAGTCAGCAGCCAGCCAGGGGTTTCTCTTGTATTAGGTCTTCACCAATAAGAGTATGTGAGGCTACTGAGACCAAGACCTGCTGCTCCAACCTAGCCTTCTGCTGGCACAACTTAAGCTTTGTGTATCCCTCCTTGCTTTCTCTGCTTTGCTTTGTGAGAAGGATGTATCAGTGAAGGAGGCAGACCTCTTCCCTTCCCAAGAAGAGGTGGTGCTTTGGAATGACCTTACCTCCCTCACGAGGGAGGTCTCTTCTTCATTTGGGATAGGTGTCAACTATTTCAGAGACCCAACAAGGAGCAGGGGCCTCTAAATCTTCATTTGTGTACAAACTGGAGGCTGAACTGCCTGACCACCTTCACTCGGTTTTGGGAGCCAGGGAAATTTGTAGGACTTAAAATATGTTAGTGGATGTTTGAAGTCTCTTCTGAGTATCCAGACAGGGAAATGCATTGAGGGCAGTGCAGGCAAGCTGAAGGGGCATCACCTCACTTGTGATGCAACCCTGGTTTCTGGGAGACTTGTTTGGAATGGGGATTACCCCGTGCCAGAATTTTGCTTGTTCTCCTAGCAAAGTCAAGAGTTACAGTTAGCTCAGCCCTTCAGGGTACTTGTATGTGCTGGAGCTTATTCTCTTCCTTCTGTTATTAAGGCTGAAGAAGAGTTAGTAAAGGCTCAGAAGGTATTTGAAGAGATGAACGTTGATCTGCAGGAGGAGCTGCCTTCACTATGGAATAGGTGAGTGCTGGAAGTTTTCCCAAGGCATGGTTGGAAGGGCGCAAAGACCTTCCACTGTTCATGGACCTTCCTGTATCACTGTTCTCAGCTTGGGCTGGGTTTCTGAATCATCTCAGAGAGTCTGTCCTAAGATTACCACCAGGTGGGTTCACCTTGGTCTTTCTTCACTTTGGTACGGGATCCTAATGACAAACTTTCACCACAAAGAGAAATGGTGTTTCCCCACCAACTCTACCCAATTCTCCTGCGCATTGCCCTAACTTTTGCTGTGGATATCAGACAGAGGAGGCTGGGTACGTCAGCTGACTGATGAAAAGCCTGAGAGATTTATACAGTGACTGTGGTTGAGGAAGGCTAGGAGGTGGTGCCTTGCTCACTTGTGTCTCACCATGTAAGCTTATGAGCACTCAGTGAAGCAGCAGGTGTTAAACAACAGGGAAGGTGAGCGGGCAGGTTGGATGTCATCTGTGAATGCTGTTTCCAGGTTAGAGCAGTTGGGTGAACAAAGCCAAGGGAAATGATCCTGGTGGTGACTGCCTTCTCTAGCCCATAACGTGTGCTTCTGGCTGTGACACTGGACCTAGTGAAGAACTAGTGTTTACAGCTGTCCTCCTGTGGTGCTCTATTTAACAAAACATAGCTTGGGTTGAAAAAAGATGGAAGATGTGATAGATCAGGGTTTTGCCACACCAGTGATTATGATGATAAAAAGGGGAGAGAAGAAGCAGGCTAACTAACAGGTAGCTTGGAGGATGAACTGGAGAGCACTAGGAGGTGATGTATAGGGAAGGCAAGCCAAATCCTCGTCTCAGTTCTGTATTTTTAAATACAATGACCATATCTGGGTTTGCAGTGCTAGTCTGGGGGAAATGAAGAGAGTGGACAGCAACAGAGTGGGGAGCAAAGTGCTGATTTCTGCCCTCACCCCCTTTTCCTCCCAGCCTGGGCTGTTTGCATGCAGCAGCATGCAGGCCTGCTGAGGAAGCAGTTGGGAGGGATGCAGGCATTTTGGTGGCTACATGTGCAGAATAGTGATGCTGCTGGCCTTTGAGGGAAGAGAGTGTCTCACTCCTGCTGTTGCTCCTCCAGCTGGGCACTGGGATCTGCTGGCAGGCTGGATACAGGAAGCAAGGAGGCAGGCGGCTGCGGGGATTTTGAAGTGCCACAGGTTGTTCACAGGCTCCTGCTGTCCAGCCGATCCTTTTGCATTCCTGTTGCTCTCTGTGCATATCCTGTGCTTTCTTACTCTTCTGCCTTTAGAAGCAAAGAGTTCACACTTTTGCTCTTCCCCTGGTGCTGAGGGACTTTGGAGTGACTTAATTTCTCTCCTGCCAGTTGCCTCAGTTTTCCCCACACTATCACAACTTCCATCGTTTTGCTTTCCATCACCCTACCATTAGTGTGTGCTCCCCCCCACCCCCTGCACCTCCCTATCCCTTTTGCCAGCACAAATCACAAATTCAGATCTTACCATACCTGGCCTCCTCCTCCTGGCCTTAGCTCCACCGCCCCTTCCACACTTCTTTGCTGCCATTCTCTTCCAGCATGTGCCAGGCCTGACAGAGTTGAGCTCAAATGGGAATGGTGGGTGGGAGATAGCAGGTGAGGCAGAGCTGAAAGCTTTTGGGAGAGCATGGTGTCCATTAAGTTCTTCTTTCTCTTGTTTTTCATTTGGCAGTCGTGTTGGTTTCTACGTCAACACATTCCAGAGTATAGCAGGCCTAGAAGAAAACTTCCATAAAGAAATGAGCAAGGTAAGACAATTAACAGCTTGTCCTATTAACACACCCTGTTCTCTCATCACTGCTATTTGAGAAAACTAAATGATATGACTAGAGAAGAAAGCATTTACCCTGTATTAGAGCAAAATGTTAACCCTCAGACTTTTTCAAGCAACATGGGGGAAGGTCTATCTGAGTTAGTAATGTGAAGGGATGGAGTAAGGGGAGAGAGGGTAGAGTACCACTGCATGCTGCAGGGAGTTTGTGTCACTTGGCTCACTTGAAGATCCACAGAGGGGAGGAAAGCCACTTTCAGGCCTGTCTTGCTGCCTTTTCTAATTCCTCCAGAATCTGGATCTGTAACCTATGACCAAGCCATCTCAGCCTGGCATCTGTTTGCAAAAGAAGCCATCTGAATGCTTAGCATGGCCCTTGCATGGACTGCCTGGTGGTCGTGGGCTGGGAATCAGGGCAGTAAGTGGTGTCATAGTCTGGTGGCAGGCTGGATTTGGGTGTTGTCCCAGCACCCAGCGGAGACCTCAGAAATAGGCTGTGGGAAATCCTCCCATTGCCACTTTCCTTTAGAGGAACATTTCTATCATTAGTTACTTCTCCTAAAAGCTCAGTAAGTCTTGTGTTCCTTAGGTCTGTATGCTGCTCCTAAGGCATGCATGCTCTCTGTAAATCTTAGCGAGCAACTGAGAGTCCATCTGGAAAAGTCTTGTATTCCTCCCTCCCTAATGTCATCCTAACAACAAGACAGCCGCTAAGCAACCAGCAACTTTATAGTCATTCAATTCCCAGCAGTCAGGGGCCCACTGCCTTGGTGTAATGCATCAGTTTGGAGCCCTGCTGACACTTCATGGGGACCTTTCCAGTTAATGGCCTGCACTTCTACACTGGGGAATGAACTTATCATTAAGAGTAGGGAGGATTATTATAATTATCAGTCTGCTGTTAAGTTATATTCAGCAAAATGTGGGAAAGATGCCTGCTAGAAAGGAATTCTGCTCTTGTATCATGTCTTGGATTTTTCTTTCCCTGTGACTTTTGTGTGAGAGCAGGCCTTTAGCTTTGTTCCATGAAACCATCTGTTTCTTATTACTGCACTAGCATCCAATTAACTGCTGGTGTTGCCGGCACAATGCCTCTGACATTGATTGCATTGGATCCCTCCTCCTGCCGATGATAAATCTGGCATCTCATCTTGTTTGTGAATTGGCTGTTTCAGAATAGGAGTGTCCAGGGTGAATGTTTCAGCCTTTGGTGTTGGGAAAAGTTTAACCCCTAATACTGCATTTTTTCTAAGAGATCCAGGTCCTGCCTAAACCTGGATGGCCCAGGCAGCCTGCAAGGTGAAGGTTTGCTGTTGACTTAGTAGTTCTGTAGTTGCCTGTAGTTCTGCATTGTAAATGTCCATATCCCAGGTTCATTAGAAGGTATAAGGAGCAACTTTGGCTACAAACCTAGAGCGAAGCTTCAGTCCCAGTAAACAGAAGACCCTCAGGTGAACGCTCGGCCTGGTACTGCAGTAGTACTGGGCAGCACACAGGTTGGGACAGGTGACACAAAAGCAAAGAGGATAGTGTCTTGGGAAGACAGAGCATTCTCATGAGGTGCCAGCAGCTCTTCGGAAGTCTGAATGTAGGGTTCTTTACCCCATGGAGGAGTGGAAACATGTAGGGCTGTTTTCTCATGGGACAGCTGACTGCACAAGTTAGTGCTTGGTCAGCCTATGCAGGCCAGTGCAGGCTCTCTTATGGCACTTGGGGCTCTTTTCTCATTATTTTCTCTCTTTTGTTTTTGTATTTTGCAGTTGAACCAAAACCTCCATGATGTCCTGCTGGGTCTAGACAAGCAGTATTCAGGCAATGCCTTCCCCATTAAAGCACAGCCCAGGTGAGTAACTGGGAGCAATGTCTTTCCCTCAGCAGGGGAGGAGGGACTGGGGGGTCTCTGCTGGGGTATTGAAACCTGCATGGTGTCACCTGAAGAGTGATTTGATTGTCTGCGTATAGCCAGCCTTGAGAATCCCTAGAGGATATCCAAGATTGCACTTGAGGCAGGGAGACACGATGCAATACCTCCTACCTTTGTAGGATAGCAGCTGGAGGCCTCAACTTTCACTATTTGCTGATATTTAGGCAACCGACTCACCTCTGCTGTTTTTAAAGTCAAATTCCATAAACCAGTGCTATAACACTGAGCTCCCTTTCCTACTGAGTCTGGTTGTCCTGCACCCGTCCTGTTCTTTCCTTCAAAAGCTTCCCCCACATACCTGTAGCTTGTGAGCTAGAGGACCCAAGACCCCATTTATTTTCCAGCCTCCTCCAACTTGTTCACTAAAGCCCCGTGTCCCTCCTGTGCTCCAAACTAGGGTGTGTTGCCTGTATCTGTATGTGTTATGGATGTAGTTACAGCCTCATTCATACGAGGCTTTCTGATCTCAGAGCACTTTCAGTCTGTGTGTATGCAAGGAGTGTGTGTCCTCCAGTCCTTTAGTTTTCTTTGCTCAGCTGGGGCTGGTCCATTTAGGTTAACTGCAAAGCTGCACATTCTCCAGCACTGAGAGGGGAGGGAGAGGTCAGGCAGTGGATGAGGCTGCAGCTGGCTCCCATCCAAATGTGTGAGTGATGAAACAATGTAGGGCTCTGGCTTCCAGCTGCCACTAATCCCACATGCCGGGTGAGCAGGAGCACAGCCCAGGTCCTCAATTGGTGTATTGATGGAGGGAGGAGGTGAAGTCAGCGTGAAGTCAGGGCAAGCTGTGGTCTGAGTGTACTGATTTGGAAGGGCTAGATGAGCTGTTGACACCTCTGTGCTCCCTCGTCTCTCCTCCCAGTTTAACCTCTTCTTACATTCATGCATAGACAACTTTTTTTTTTTTTTGGTCTCGTTCTGGCAATGCGTGTAGTGTTTGCCAACTTTAAAGAAAGAGGAAATTTGAATCAAATTTGGCCCCTGAATTTTGGGTTGCTAATACCAAATTCCCAAGATGCGAGTATCAATGCATCTTGCGAAGAAAGTGTCTTCATCTTAAGTCAGCACATGGTGCCTGTTGATCACCACCAGCAAGACTGAAGCTTTATGCAGGAGGCCACAGTGCCAATCCTCTTGTGCCATGCACCACGGTGTCTCTGATGGCAGCATCCAGTGGGGCACTTGCAAGAGGATGAGGTAACAGGACAGATGAAGGCCAGTGCCATTGCTTTGCCAGCTCCTTCCTCCTCCTGCCTTTCTTACTCAAGTAATTGATGGCAGGCTGTAGTGACAGCTGGGCCTACACATACTGCTCTGGCATGAAGTTTCTGGCCTGAAAGAGCTTCCAATTAATCAAATAGATATTCTTATGACTTCAGGCTCACAGACTGCTAGTCTCATCTGGGGAGGTAATAGGTGTCTCTGTTGCAGTTCAGTGCTCTTTGTTTGGCGAAGAGACTAGTTGGCCCTAAAAAAAAGAACAAAACCCCAAGTGCCTACACAGAGGATCCTGTGCAGGTAGCAATTTGAGTGCTGCTGCATCACCTGCTCAAACCTCAGCTGAGAGGATGGACCTGCCCCAAAACAGCTGTGATACCCCTGAGTGAAGTGGAACAGGATATTGTAGGAGGATGTGTCCAAGGTCTGCCAGGACTGTAAGTGTTTTGCAAGGATCAGGAAATGCCATGAGGCACTTGTGTCTCTCTTCCACATCTGGCCTCTCACTGTGGTTCAGGGCTGGGGCAGAACATGCAGGAGGAAATATCCCTCACCGATCTGACTGCCCATTGTGGCTCGGGGTAGGAGCAGATGCTTCCCTCGTCCTTCTCTGCTGGGCAGAGGATCGGAGATGGGTACAATGGCAGGAAATGAATTAGGAGGTGTGAGAAGAGATGCAATTATCCTCATACATCACTACAGCTGACAAAGCTGATGCTGGCTGTGTAGCACAGAGTAGCTGATGCATTTCAGGAAACTTCAGAGATGTTTGGATTTTGTTTCTGAAGAAGTTTGAACAGTCATGGTTGTCAGATGCTTAGAAAACCTAGGAGATCTGTAGTATTATCCTACTATAATTGGACAGATTGGAAAAAAACACAATAGGAAAACTGCTGATTAGGTTCCACATTAAGACTGGTGCACAGATGGCACAAAGGAGAATGGGGAGCTTGCTTCTTGTGTACCAGCATTTACAAGGGCGATTGAGGAGCTGCAATTACCCATGAGGGAAAAAAGAAAAAAAAAGGATCAGTGTCACAAAGTTCTCTGCTGATATATGCAGTTTCCTTTTTATTCTTATCCATGTGCACCCTAGCCCCATATTCCAAGAAACGGGGACAAATCTAGTTTGTTAACGTATCTGCAAATCTTTGACAGGCACAAAAAGACCTCTCCCACCCTCTTCAAAGGCCAAAGCTTTGTAGGAAGCAAGGGAAGAGTGTGTTTGTGTGTGTGTGTATTTGTGAGAGTAAGAGAGGAGTGCGTGTCATCTGGATTGCTGTGAGTTTTGTGGCACCGAGTGACTGAACGCTCGGAGGCTTGACTTTTCCTCGCTGGTTTGACTGTGCCATCCTGTAACGGAAATGATTTGCGTGCCGTCCTCAACAGAAAGAAAACTAAACTGTTCGCCAGGCTGAGGAAAAAGATGAGCAGGTACCGGTACGGAGAGCAGCATTTCGATCTGTGTTTGATTTAGTTCCTAAAACTGGAGAGGCTGTTGCTGGACTCTAACAGCCTGGCACGTGTTAACCCTGTGACGGGAGAGGGGTCCTCTGCATGATACCGTGTGTTCATGGCCTGCTGGGTCCTGCTGAAATCTCTGTGTCTGGATAATCCCATTAACTGCTTGTGTGTCTGGTTTGAAGCCTTGCTTCCTTTCCTCCCTAAGAAGGCACTGGGAAAGTTCAGGCGTTGTCTGCTCGGTTGTTTTTGTGATGACTAAAAGTGTGGTGCTGGGTTGTGCAGGGGAAATATGGGCAATTGTGGTAATTAACAATATCTAGTCTTACCTAGTGATGCTTGCCCTTTTGAACAGCTCTGAAATGCTGCATTCTCATTCCCTGCCTGGCCCAGGAGGACCAATTTTATATGTAGTCCTGTCCTATCCTACCTGGTGTGGTGGGAGGACATTGATTTGGGAGAAGGACACTTCTAGGGTTTTGCTCTTTACTTGTTCTGCTCTTGATATCCTAACCGTTGTGCTCCATTCATTTAAGATTTGTGCAGAGCTGAAGGAGAGGGAAGCCTGTTACCCTGTATAAAGACTAACAGCAGCAGCTTGCCTTTCAAGACAGTCGTGGCATTGAATAACTGGATTGCTACAGTGCTCAGAGTTCCCATAGCCAAGGTCAAGGACTCCGACAAGAATGTGCTTTGGGGCAAAGTGGGGTTTGCTGCATAGCGGCATAGAAACTTCCCCTAACTCTTGTTTTTCTCAGTCTTTGTGTTGATATTCCTTCTATGGGGTCATTATAGGAATGAAAAAAAATCCTTTTAAATCTCAAGATGTTGTTCTGCCAGCAATAAAAGTAAGTGCTGGTGAATTGGGATCCCTGCTTTCTGATCCTGGCTTCCCACTGGCTAGGCCAAATTGTACAACCTTTCTCTTTGTTGGGCATCTTGTGTAAAATTGGAAGCTGGAGGGAATAAAATGGTAATTTCACAGGGAAACTGATGGGCACATCTTAACTATTTCCTCAAATGAAAAGTAGTGAGTGAATGTCATGTAAAAAAGGAGGATTTATAGGAGTATTTCTCTGGATGTATGTGTCTGACCTTGGCTGGGCAGTGTTGCTGTGACTGCACCAGGAGGTGTAGTGCTTGCAGTCGTTTTAACCTTTTTTTTCCATCCAAATGGATGCCACAGCCGAGGGAGAGCCTAGGAAATCTCATCTGGATGAGCTCTACCCACAACATCCTCCAGTCAAGGTCCTGCTGGCCCAGCAGTTAAGGTGTTTGACCCTGGCTTATCTGGAGGTTTCTGCTGTCAGAGCAGCTGCAGGGGGAGCAGAGAAATATGCAAACCCTGGTGCAGGGAAGGAAGGTCAGGGACTTGGTTGCTCTTTGATCTGCAGCAAAAACATACATTTGTGCCACTGGATGCCTGGGTATGGAGGTGTTATTTTTCTTTTTCTGTCCCTCCTTTTCTGGGGAGTGGAAATAATTCTAGTGTTCAGACAGCTTTGATGTTAAAAACAAACAAAAAAAGCCACAAAAAACAGCCTAATTACTTTGGGCTAAAAGACGCTATCTGAGCCTTAGCGGAGATGCCAACCTCCTTTTTTTTTTTCTTTTTAACTTGAGAACTTGGCAGGAGGTGACTTGTCTGTTTTTACCATATTGGAGATTTGGTTCCATCCTCTAATGCAGGATTGTTACTAGCATATAGGAACCCCATCTGCAGATTTTAGTCATCTCTTCCAGAATAGATGAGGCAGCCCAGTGAAGGGTCTGGAAGCTTAGCAGCACTCTGAGAGGCTGGGCGATTTGCAGTTTTCCTTCAGTTGCAACTGTGTTAGACCTTGCTCTTGACTCTCAAAGAGCAGAGTGGTTTTCCTGTTCCCCTTCCCCTTTCCAGTTGCTTATGAAAAGGTGTTGTTCTGACAATTTTCTGCGATACATTTGGTCAGTCCCCACACTTGCTTGCTCCAGGAACACAGGGAAAAGCGGTCTGTTTGGAAACAGGGTTTTGCTCCGTGCAGGACACACAGCTTGTGCTTGCCTAGGACCCGTGGAGGCCCCAGGATCCTGGTGAGGGGCAGACCTGGTGCTGGTCACCAAGTTGCTGAATGCGCGCGGAGCAGCAAGTGCAGGAATGAAGGTGCTGCTTGTGGGGCTGGTAGAGGCTAAGTCAAAATTAGCAGTGGCATTTTCCTACGAGGATCAGCCAACACATCAAACAAGCTGTAAATAGCAGTGACTTAATGAGGGCTTTAGTGTGGGGCCCTCTCAGCCCTTCTAGGATGAGGGGAAGAAACTGGTCTGCCTTTCACGTGGGAGTCTTTCAGCAATATGTCTCCAAATTAAGCCACTGCCAGACACCACAAATACGCTACCAAAAAGCTCTTTCATGGCTTCTAGAAAAGGAGTGTGAACTCCTTTCTTGCCAGGAGAAAAATCCCTTTCACATGCTTAGTTGGAGAAACGTACACTAGTGCTGGTAGCCAGGACTCCCCAGTCTGCCCAGGAGTTTGAGAAGTCCTGGCAGTCCGGCCACAGGTCTCTGTCCTCTCCATCTCCTCCAACGTGACTCTAGTAACATTTTTTCTTTCCTCAACTCTAGCACCAGGAGGTATTTTCTTTACATTTTCACAAGCAAAACAGTTAGATTGAGGAACATATTGCCTCACCTCTTCCTGATTTTTCCCCAGTTTAGTTCCTTGATTTTGTTCGCCACATTTGAAGCCTCTCACACGCACTTGCCCATGCCTTGGGACACCTCTCTGGGCTGAGCATTTTGCAGTCCCAGGCAGTCCTACGCAATTCATCGCTATCATTCTCATCCGTCTGCAGCAACCCTTACTGACATGAGGGTAGGACCCCCTTGGAGATCCCAGAGGCGATGCATTGGGGTGCAGGATCTGTGTCTTCAGTGAGGCTGGGCTCAGCAAGGTCATCATTCCAGCCTCTGATGGTGCTGTAAATGGTGTTGCCATGGAAATAGTACCAAGATAATGCTTCTCCTGAAATCGTGTTGAGGTTTCAATGTTGTGAACCTGTTACATGGAGCCTGCTGTTCCCTGGTAACTCTCATTTAGAGCAAGACTTCCTTACCTTCACTCCAACCATTATTACCTGTAGCACATTATTATCTGTAGCACAGCCTTGGCAATGTCACAGAACCCTTCCTGCAAAACCCTCTGTGTTGAAGTGACTTGGGGGGGACATCTTAGGAAGGACACTAGGCATGTGCAGTCACCCTGGAGAGCTGCAAAGGTCAATGTATGTGTTCCTTAGTCCTTCCTCTTCCCCTTTCCCTCTTCCTCTCAACCTTTGGCGTGTGTGCCCCTGACTGAGAGCTGCTTGCACAAAACACCCCTGGGTTTGTTGCATCATGTCGGTGTACTGCTGGCATCAGTGTCATCAGAAACACCCGACCTGCATGTGGACCCGCGAGCAAGCGCTTTGTGGGAAAAGGTGTGTGGGGTGTGTGGATATGGGGTGGAAGGTGGAGAAATGGGTGAGGGCAAAGTGAATGAAGAGGGAACGGGGTGGGAAGCTTGAAAGCTGGAATGCTGAGCAGGGGGAGATGCTTGCTTGGGAGGGGAGGTTTTTCGAAATGTCTTGCTGTCCCTTCCTCCTCTCGCTGTCCTCTTACTTGTGAGTGTTTAGGAATGAGGCCATTGTGCATGTTAGCCCATGACCACCACACCTTGGGCATCCAAGCGTGAGTGGACGTACATCTCCAGAGCTCTGGGCTCTCCTGGGACAGTGCAAAGAAATAATCTGTGTGTTCCTCAGAACCAGGCTACATGGCTGCAGTTGTGGCTCTGTGCCAGGATTTATTGTCACAGGCTGGAGCAAAGGATCTGTGCCTTTCAGCCTTCTTCCAGCCTTCTCCCTTTTTTTGTAAGTGGAGGCAAACACTGCTCCCTCCAGATGAGGCTGCACAGCCCTTTTGAAATATTCCGTAATATTCTGTGTTCAGCTGTGCATAGTTTTGCCAAATTGCAACCACTTCTGCTAAAATATCCTCTACTAGTGTGAGTGCTTCTGCATGACTTGAGATAAGCTGATTGGTTGCTTTTTAGGGAGCTGAGTTTCAGCCAATTTTTTAAGCTATTCCTGAGAATAAGGCTGGGAAAATGAGTTTAGCTTTATCCCTGTTGAAACTCTCTGTTAACCAACCTTTAGCTGAATCTCTCATGATTCTGCAGGTTGAAGCACAGATTTGACACTCAGCCAGGGCATGCCTTTAGGGAAAGGCATTTGCCTCTTGCCATTCCTTTCAAAAATCCAAATCTGGCCAAGTTATGAACCAACAAATGCCATTGGCATATGCTTCCTGCATCTTAATTCTCTAAAGGGTCCCTTTTGACTGTGTTAGAAACAGTCCTGGAACAAGGACCAGCTGGAAAGACAAAGACAGCAGGGGTTCATCGTAGAAAACAGGCTGAAGAAACTTTCCATAGTAGGGAACAGTCTATTAGTAGCCAAAATCTCACTGTTTCTTTGCTGTCTGGAATGATCTGTGAAACTTTGGGCAACTTTTTCCATCTTCCAGCTCAGACAGTTCGTCCTATGTAGAGTAATATGATAATGTTTTATTACTGCCTTAGTTCGGGTGTTGCAGATCTGCATATGGATCTGTTGCTCACAACACATGTGGGTGTCAGTACAATTCCACCCAGAGAAATTTTTATCTGTAAAATGTATAAAATTAATTGAGTTAGGATCTACCAGAATTAAGGATGCCTGCGGGTTTTTTTATTTTGATTTGTTCCACTCCTCCCTCCCCTCCCTCCCCCCAAAATGTATTCATGCAGTAGGAATTTATTGGGAACCTGCTGCCCAGTAATCCTACTTCATTGTGTTGGGCTGGAAGTGACTCAGCGAGGATGCTTCTCAGAAAGTTTGTAGAGGCTTCACATATCTTCATCACATGTCTGGACAGTGAAGCAAAGAGGTAAAGGAGGCCAGTGATCTGTGCTGGTTAGCACAACTTCTCCTAGGCCTGGCTCAGACTTCTCTTCTCTCTCTCTGTCTGTCTCTCTTTTCTCTCCGTCTCTCCCCTTCCTTCAGTGACAGCACCCCAGCGAAAGCAAATAAAAGCCCCTCGCCTCCACCAGATGGATCTCCCATCACCAGCCCTGAGACCAAGACTGTCAACCATGAGCTGGAACCGTCCACTTTGGAAGCACCTGGGGCAAGCATCCCAAAGTCACCATCTCAGGTAGCGTCCCCAGGACATTGACCATGTCTCTGCTGTATGACCACTGATGACACATGCTCTGTGAGTTAGACGTCCATCAGTTGCTTTTTTGGACCTCTTCCTGCTACTGAACACAGAAAACATAACATGATGGTTGTTCTCCATCAGTGTGGGCAAGAATGAGGTTTCTGAGGATGCCAGTTGTTCATTGATCTTCTTTGTATTGTACAGGGAAGTACTAAAGCTGTCTCTGAATGCCTCTACAGGGGGAAGGCCAGTAATATAGGTTGGATGGCCAAGAAAATCTAGGGAGGGTGTAGCAAGGCAAGGAAGTTTGTTCTTTACACTTGAATTAACCTGTGGAATTGAATGGTCATGCCTCTTCCCAAGAACTGCTGTAAATTATGAGGGTCTGAAGAAAAAAGTTTAATATTGATATGGATTTTTTTTTTGATATGGAATTATTTTGCATTGTTTTACTTTAGCCTAGTATTTTACCTTGGGATTAAAAATAAAGGCATTATAGTACACTATGAAGAAATTAGGTGCGTAGCAGGAAGGAGACTGTTATGTGGTTTCTGATACCTTCCACACAGCCTTTGTTAGTACTTCCCTTACATGGGGGACACCCAGCAGCATGTTTAAAATAGGAAATGTAGCTGCTGCTACTTAGCATATCATATGTTATGTTTCACTTTGGGATTTAAGGAAAAGAAAACATTTGTTTTTCCTAAATTTTCCATATTTTCCCCTATTGCTGAGTAGGGGAAAAGCTTAGTGGAGACAAGCTAGCTGGGCCAGATTCATGTCCTTGCATTTCAATAAGTGGGACACCAAGGAGCAGTCCTTCAGGAAGAATTAAAGCTGAGAGGTGTTCTGGCCAAACTGGTAAGAAAATACCTATTGCTGCTAAAACAAATAAAATAAAATGATGAAAGTAACTCAGAACTTCCTTGCTATTATCATATGTAGCAATGTGATTCCAAATCCAGGCCTGTGGAGCACGGTTGTTTCCTGTTTCTGGAATAACCTCTCACAGTATTTTTCCCTCCCCTGTGTTTTTGATTTTCAGCAGGACAAAAAGGGATATTTTCACATTGCCAAAAGGTCTTTTCCTGATTTGAGAATTGAGGATGTCTGGCTGTGTCTGCAGGACTTCTCCAGGGTCTCTGCACTACTGAGCATTGTACAGCTTAGAGTGGCTTCACCACCCCCAGGTAGACCCCGCCTTGGAGTGGGGTCTATGGATAGAAGGAGAGAGGATAGTGCATATTTTTCCAGAACTGCCTTCCTTTTTTTTTTTCAAAGATCACCACAACTAAATGGAAATGTGGAACAAGACATTGTCCAGATCTATTGAACTTTCACTGCAGATTTCACTTGTGCTGCCTATGGACTTGTCTTGCTGAGTTTGGTTTCTTCCCTTTCCTTTAAATACCACACCTAAGCCTTGTTTTTGCCAGGCTGCAAGTGCTTGCTCATTCACTTGCTGCCTTCCTGCCCACAGGAATGGGGCTGGAAGCACCCCTTGTTGAGCAAGCAGAATGTTCCAGCAGAGCCCCATCTGGAACCTCCGATGGGTCAAAGGCAAGACCGAGATGGTGTTTGCAGCTTCTGCTGCCACCGTCTGGCCGCTCTTTCCCACTCTATGTTTTAATTAATTTTCCTAAGCCTCACTACAGTGAAGAGCAAGAGCTCCTCTCCATGTTCTCACTAGGTGCTGAGAGATGAAGCTTGCTTCAGAGGGAGGGAAGGCAAGGACAGGGCTTTTGTACTCAGAGCCAAGCCTGGTGCCTATATGGCAAGGTCCAGAAACTCAGCCCGTGTCAGCTTGCCAGCCAGCTGGAAGACACAAGTGTCTGTAAACAGTGCTCGACTTTAACACCAATTCAGCTTTACATGTGTCATTACTTTTGACCCACGGGTAAGTGTTTTGCTCTAGGGTCCTCCAAGGGAGGCAAGGGGCCTCCTACTGTATGGGAGGCCAGATCAAAAAGCAACAAGCAAGTGTAGTTCTCTACCCATTTCCTCCCTGTCTGAAAAACTAATGCAAATCATAAGCAGAGGCTATAGAGAAAAAGACAACAAAACAGGAGAGACCACATAAATACTGACTTGATTTTGAACAATTCCCTGTGCCAAAAAGGAGCTCTTTTACTGTCACTTTCCTTTAATTCTTGAAAACATCTGTTCTGGAATTTCTGTGTTTTGGAAGAAGCGGCCACAACTCTCTGCAGCGAGTAATTTGATGATGACACAGGACTTCAAGGGTCTGTGAAATTGTAAAGGTCAGACTTTTGCTCTCAGTTACACCACTGACAGACACTAATGACACTTCTGAAAACAGCACGGCTGTGGTGAATTTAAACAGATCAAGCTCTGTGGGATCCAAATCAGCAGGAAGATTGTAGGGGGGTTATTTTATTCTAGTCAGCAAAATAGTTCTTCATGCTTCATGCAGTTCAAGGTATAACCTGACATCAGTATGCAGTCCTGTTGTCTTTGAGAAGTGGTACTAAACTGCTGTTGGAGATAATGCTGGACAATGTGGAAGTGCTGGTCTCTAAGACACTAATGCACAGAAGAGGGCAGAATATGGACTGTTTTAGAGAAGTAAATCACTAAAGAGTCAGGATCTTTTTAGCTTTGGGTTTGTGATTGGAGCTTTCAATTTCTGCAGGTGGTGGCTCTGTTCTGAGGGTATCTTTTCCTGAAATTTCTGGTCTCTTCTTGTACCTGGCAAGCAGGTTTTCAGTAAGGGATTGTTTTTAGGTGACACGGATGCATCATGTTCTGCAAACAGTGAAAAGCTGGGAGTGAATACACTACTTTTCATCATTTCCTCTAGCCAGCCATTCAGTGGAAAATGCGTGTTTGCATTCTCACTTACACTGTCTAAAGTAGGTTAACCCATTAGAGAACTGGACATATTCTTAGCAATCTGAATAAATCCACTGAGGGTGGATGCACTGTCAGGCTGAGCCTTTCAGCATGATAAGAGGGTATTAGGATGGGTTAGAGTCACAGGGTCAGATTTCATTGAGCCTTCTCTGGGATCTCCATTTGGGCTGCGCTTGTGACTTCATCAGTGTCAGTGCTCATTGGTGAAACTGAGAGCTGAGTTGGGCCCACAGCAGTCACGGCTTCTCAGGAGCTGGACTTGTTCTTGCCCAAAACTGAGATATGGTAAGATGCCATGAAGGGTTCCGTCTGACATTCCATAAGGTATACTGATAACCCATTGCTGGGCAGATCAGAATCTGGCCTCATGGCCATCCCATAATACAAATTGCGTCTGGGTTCTCGTTCCATTAGGTATGGTAAGTATGGCAAATGGTGGCAGAACTGGCCTGGTCTATCGAATCTGTTTTGAGTAACTGATCTGCTCCCTTCCCAGTGGTTCTTTGGAAGGTTGCACATGCTCTAATTATGTATGCATGTCCTGTCGATGCATATTAATTGTGTTACGCTTCTCCTCTGCAGAGGGAAACTTGCCCACGGCTGAAGTGTAACTAATGATGCCAAACCTTCTCTGGAGGCGTGTGGTTGTTTTTTTATTTCGTTTCGTTTCGTTCTGCCCTTCTCCTTCCCTCTCTCCAGATGGAGTTGACAGAACCCTTCTCTGTGACTGTGGTTGTGATTTCCCCCACCTTCAGTTTTTGTGGCTAACCTGGTTCCTGTCTCTGGTTTTTTTGGGTGTCGCCGTCTGTGCTGTGGCCAGTGTGCTCACTTGCATGCAGTTGAGGAAAGGGCCTCCGGTGCCTCCGCCTCCAAAAGTCACCCCTTCCAAGGAGATCAAGCAAGAGAACATCATCAGTCTGTTTGATGACAATTTTGTCCCTGAGATAAGTGTGACAACCCCCTCGCAGGTTAGCTGCTATGCCCTGCATTATACTTGTCTTCCTCTGAACTTTTCCTTCTGATCTTTATTCTCTCTGGAGCTGTCAAGCCATGAAACCTGGTCAGGCAAAGGAGGAGCACGAGCTCGGCATGAGACCTCAGGCGGCGAAGGGATAGATGGGGGGCCATCTTAGTGGGCAGTGTGGCTAGAAGGCAGCTTTGGCCAAGACGTTGCCCTTTGAGAACTTTAATTTACAGAGAAACGTGAAAAATGCAACTGGTGAAGATACTATAAAGTTATCACTGTGTTCAGCAGCAGTGCACATGGATTATGGCTTGGCTCAGCTTGCATCCCATGATATGTGCCTTCCAGGCCCACAGATCCTGGGTGTGGGTGAAGCATGTGTTTTCTGCTCCTGTGCATCCCTAAGTGACGACACTGGCAGCTGTGCCAGTGGTGGGAGAAGGCAGTTTTGTACCATCTCAGTGCCTTTATACATGGGCTTTGTGGTGACTTTTAACGCCCATACCTGCGCTGGAAGGGCCGACAGGAATTGGGGGATGCAGTACAGACAGGCAGGACCGTGCCTGCTGTGAATTCAGGACTCCTGACTCTGTCACTCTTAACCAGCCAGCGGTTCCCATCAGAATGCATGTTTCCAGCCACATGGCACCTTTTGAAGCCCTAAAAATGGAGCAACATTTTCAAACAATGTGTTTTTCATCTTCACTTTCCTTTTTATTAGCATCACTGGAAGAGAGGATGCCTAAATGGGGAATTCTGTATTGGATCTAGGAGAATGGTGGTCCTTAATGTATAGGGGAGCCTGACCAGATTTCTGGCTGCATTATGAGACACATGCATCTATATTTTTTATATATATACATGTATATATAATATATATATATTTCCTAAATGCTTGTTAAAGCACAAGTAACGTCTCTATCAGTATTCATCTGTGACTTGCTAACTTTTCTTTGTATCATGCTGCTCCTTTGCCTCTGGTTTGCCACCTTCCACCCAGCTGGTGAGGAGCCAAGGTGGAGTGGGGAGGGAAGGATGTCAATGTCAGATTTTGCATTGCGATAGATTTAAGTTTGCAGAGCAGAGAGATGGTTTGACTGCAGTATTGGAAGGGGGGGACCACAGGCAGCTGAGCAACTCTTTCATTCTCTGTTCTCCTTTATCATACTGGACAACTTTGTCTGCCCTGTGGTTTGTATCATGTATTTCCATGTGAATGCTTGCCTTTAGCCAGACATGCTCTTCTCCACCTGATCAGTGCCCTGACCCAGGATGGGATCTGCTGTGACATGCAATTGGATGGGATTTCTGAGGGAGTATTATGGTTGCCAGAACAATCTTCACTGAAGCACCCAGCAGCCACTAGTGTTCAGTGCATTGCCCAGGGCTGTTCCTGTCAGATGACTTGGGTCCAGTGAGCTTTCTTGTGGGAGATCTGGGTAAAGGCAAAGGGTGCTAGGCTTTGCATGTAAGTCTTGAATGGCAGGTAAGATTCTTCCATGACCGGACCCTTTGGTGTCCAACTGCCAAAAAAAAAAAGCTACAGATTAGGGTTTGAACCTTTCCAATGGCTTCAGTGTGTGCTGGGGGAGTGTACTAGAATGCCAGTTGGTTTTAGCATACTGTTGTGAGACTGGGTGAACGTGGTTCCTTGCCCTCCTGGAACTGGGGATATTAAAAAGAGTGAGGTAAGGATGGTCATAAGGGAGGGAAAAATCTAAAAGAGCATTGGTGTAAGAGGAAATTAGAGGAGGTGAAGATGATGGTGGTACGTGTTGCATGCAGAGGACTTTCTCTTATATTATGTCTCACTTAGAATCATAGAATATCCTGAGTTGGAAGGGACCCTTAAGGATCATCAAGTCCAGCTCTTGACACCGCACAGGTCTACCCAAACGTTCAGACCATGTGACTAAGACCATGTGACTTCTTTCCACAAGTTCTTCCATGTTGGGGCCATGATGTAAATGAAGACCAGCCTGCCAGCCTTGGTGTATTGTTGGACAGGTAGCTGAAGGGGTAGGGCAAGCAAGCTTGGAAGATCAGTGAAAGTGGGGTCAAATCCTCCTGGACTGCAGCTTCCTCTGAAGCTGAATAGGAAGGCCATAGTGGCTAGGCTAAATCTGACAATCAGCTGTGATGGTAGTTGTTTTGAGTACTAGTGATTCCTTCGTGACTGTTTTATTAGTGGTAATCAGTGAATGTGTCGTCATAATCTTTAGCCAGAGCATTATTCAAAGAAAGGTATTCTGCTGGCATTGAAGAGAGTAGCTAAGCCTCTCAGGTGTGTGCTGTTCTAGAAGTCTCGTGTGTGCACATTGATGGGATGTCCTGAAATGGAAGGCATTGGAAACGGCACTTTGGAGTGGGAAGTGATTCAGATCCCTTAGCTAGGGTGAGCTGCCATACTCTGTATTTCTGTTTCTGGAGGGATTTAGGAGCAATCAGGTCCCTCAGACTTGTCTTCCAGAAGTTTCATTGTTCTTCTGCCTAGGTCCCTGTTCCTGAGATAAGTGGTGTGGATGGCAGCTCCTATGAGTGGGGGGCAGGGGGTCTGTCCTGGGCCTTCCACACAGAGGCAGCTGGATGAGCTGTAAGGAACAAATATACAGAGAAGGCCACCTGAGTTGGCAGTGGTGGTGATCTTTTTGCCTGTAGCAGGTCATGTGCTTACACTGTGTGAGCTTGTTTGGTCAGGTGAGAAGACGAGTGAGCCTCGTGGAAAAAGCCCAGGTTTGGTTGATAGCAAAGGCATGCTTCCTGCCTGTGGTTACGGGCACAAAGCAGTCAGGAGTCACGTCAGGTGTCTGCATCCCCACAACATCTCTGCGCTTGCAGCCTTAGCTCCTGGATATCGCGTACCCTCTACTGTGCACATGTGTGTGTCTAATGCTCGTCCTGCTTTTCTTCCTCACTGCTGCCAAGTTTGATGCCCCTGGGCCCTTCCAGGAGGGAGCCAGCCTGTTGGATCTGGATTTTGATCCCATTAAACCAGATGCCACTGTGGGGAAGACCCCCACACCTGCCTCCCAGGTTGGTTCATATCACCATTCCCTCTCAGTGCAAAACTGACTTCTTGCCAAGGGTCACCTCGATCTTCTCTGCTGGATCTGTAAGTCCAGTGAGAGTCAGGTGGCTGTTAGCTAGGCCACAGGCTGGCACTAGGTGCCTGTGCTTTGCTCTAAGGATCTATTGATTGACAACTCACTCAACTCATCCATCCAGTAGATTAGCATCCACTGTGTGCTGTATGGACTTAAACCATTACTCTGTGAATAGGCATTCAATCTACGCTCTGTGTGCCTGCTATAAATTGCTCTCAAAGGGATTTTTAATAAGCAGGCTCTTTGATAGCAGTTACTTAAGATGAATAAAGCTGTAGACAGATACTCAAGTAACATCAAGTGCTTTTTTTTCTTTCTTTTTTATTTTTTTTTTCTGGGTATAACAGCCTTTGTTCACATCAAAGTACTAGCTTCTTCCCTGAACATACTGTTAACACAGTGAAGTATTAAAAAGGAAGATGCCTAATTCTGCTCTGGCCTATACCTGCTACTGTCCCAGGAGGACCATGCTTCAATTTCTTTCTAAATGGCTGGAGTCTGTGAAGGGCACCCAAATTCAGCTGTTGTCTTTCACCCAGACATTCCACTTCATATGTACGAAATGGGTATTATTTTCACATGGTTTCCATTGAAGTTTGTAATAACATAATTGAGATGTTTACAATATTTCTCCATTATCACAATGTCAAATAGACCTGTTTGAAACAAATTTTTGTAGCAATAAGATCTCTGTTAGGCACTTGAGTCTTCTAAATTAAGATGCTACATTACAAAATGCTTGTTATTATCATAATTTAATACACCTCAGTGTGCCAAACTGCTACTTTCTGGAACTTTGGGCAGATTGGAATTTCTTGACTGCATGCCTGACTGAACAAACTACATACCCAGAATAAGCTTATTTTTTCCTTTACTAGGATTTTTTTTTTTGTCTGAACCACCAGTTATAACTTTGATAATCAGGTATATTGATATTAGGTATTAGTATAAATTCAACTTTAAAAGGGTATTATTTGTTACCCTTCCAGCAAGCAACAAATATTACACTGAGTAGGATTTTCAAAACTGCTCAACAATAGATTATTTGGTGTTCTAATATATATGTTGTTAGCGTCAGAAGGTCATTAAAGAGTCTGAAATTAATAATTGTAATGGTAACCACAGTATTAAAACCTAGCACAAACCACACAGTTTTCAAAGGAGTCAAGTTTGTTTCCTATAGTGCAGACATTATGGCAGAGAGGTTAAAATATTTCACTGCTGATCCAAAGACACTAACTGAAGTCTTGATCTGAAATCATTCTTAACTGTGTTGTCTGGGGAGATAAGGGTGCATATTTAGCTCTAATAGACCACAAACTCATGATTTTTTTCTGCCTGTGTGGTCTGCCAGTGATGATTGAATGTGGCTTGTCTGTTTCCTTTCATTCCAAAGGTAGGAATAACCCTCACTCAAAAAAGCCTTGGGACTTAATTTAGATATGCTGGGGGGAGGAGTGGATAAATTCAGGCATTAAAAAATATTTTTAAAACATGCAGAGGTAAGTGCTGTTGAATGCATATGTCTGCTTCAGACTGATCAGTGTCTATAATGTTTGTACTCACTAAAATAATCACGTATAAACATGTTTTGTTTTTGTTGCTCTTTGACATGCATAGTCTTTACCTTGGGATTTATGGGAGGTAAGAACTTCATATGGCTTTCATCTCTCATCATGTGTACTGTGCATGTGCCAGTGCCATCTCTTTGTGCATACCAGTTCCATTTTCCTCACTGCTTTTCTTCCATGCATCCCCCAAACCAAAGTTGCTCCGTGTAATGCTGAACCCACTTTTGCACCTTCTGTCAAGCCCTGGGAGCAGCCATGTTTGCAAATCAGGTCTGGCGCTGTAACTTAATGCCTCCACCACCAAACCACCCCAGTGCTAACTCACTTACCTTTCCCATGGCATGGTGCTGTGACCTTCTCCCCAGACTTAATCCCACTGTGGCATCATCCTCACCCTCCATCCCCCAAACTCTGTGTGTCCTGTTGGTCTTGTGTGTGATGCATAAATGTCTCGGGTGTCCCTCGTCCTTACTACCTGTACCATTGGGTATACATACCTGTTTGGGATTTTCTGCAGTGTTTGCTGTTCATTGACCATCACTGTCAGGCTGATGTGAAATAGCCCAGCCTGTGCCTAAGTAAAATGTTAAGAGCAGGCCCAAAACTTGCCTGTCACCTGCCACAACCCCAGCTTTGGAGCTTGTTGGCAAGGGAGACTCTACACACGCTCTGCATCTTGAACCTAAGCTGGACACTCATTTGTGCCCTCTAGATATATCAGGCCTGGGAAGGTCTCAGAGTGCTGCAGTTTAGCCCATGTGGAGATACACCAAGCACAGCTGCTTTTGGGCGCCTCTGCACAAACAGCTAGCAGTGTGGACAGAAAACACTTGGTCTGGGCACTCAAGCCTGTGACTTGAGCTGGCTGTAACCCATGGTGTAGATGTAAGCAACGTGTCCTTGGCTTGCACCACGGGATTGAGTCTTGCCAACCTTCCAATTCTCAAAGGCCAGATCAGCATCTAGAGTCAGTGCATAAGAGGAAACAGCTTTACGCTTGCTGAGAGTCTGGCCCAAGAACTCACTGTGGCCAGTGCTTTCCTTCACATGAGTCTGGGTCGTGTTGAAAGATGTTGCCCTTGTGTGCTTTGTCAGCCATCAGTGTTTAACATCTGTCACTTCATTTTATGTGCATTGTCAGTCTGTCTTAAAAAGAAATAAAAGTCTGTGTTTTGGCAAGGAAAGATCTCATCATGCCTTTCAAGTGGACAGGCAGTGCGAGAGGTATGACTGTGTGTGACTGAACTGTGCTTACAATCAAGTTTGGGGCCATTTCTCCCATTCTGGAAACCCGAAGGACAGTATAACTGGGGAATGGTACTAGACGAGATGCTCTCACCATCCCAGTTCTCACCTTGGCATCCCATACAGTGTTAAAGGGCAGAGCTCCCCATAGCTGAGGAGTCCTCCTTTTTGCTCCTCAAGCATTCTGAAGTGGTTTTGCTCTAATGTTGTTTTTAGCTGTTGATGAGAGATTTTGTTGCCAGGGTGCACAGCCCCATATGCTATGGGGTTAACAACTGCATAGAAACTTGGAGAATCTGCTTAGTTCTGCAGACCAGTAAACTTGCGTCTGGTGTGCGTGATGCTGCTGTTGGCATAAATAAAGCTTTCAAACCTGGCAACAGCAGTGAGCAATTGCCCCTCTTCTCCCTGTAGTATCTCACCATGACTGTAAATACTTTTATAGACTTTGGCACACCCACGGGTACATAAAATAGAAAAATAAGTAGCTGACATGGAAATGCCCTTTGAAACCCAGGGAATTCATTGAGGTTTAATTTCTCTGGTTATTAAATACTGTTCTTGCAAATCAGCTGCTCTAAGAAACCCTTGGCTAAATGTGAACTCCTTTTCACTTGTCCATATTAAAAATCATGCTTGACCAGATAGAGCTGGGCTGGCATCTGTTCCAGTTTCACTGAATCCATATAGAAAGCAACCTGGGAGCAAATCTAATTAAACAGGAGGAGCCATGGCAGCATTTCATATGCATACGTTTACCTTCGTACTGCCCAAGCTGCTCTGGGAATCAGCTGCAGGATGGGAACAGCTCTGCTATGTATAATACCCTCTGGCAATATAGGCCTGTGGGTGCAGTGATGGGGGGACATGAGGAAGGAGGTGACAGGAGAGGAAGACGTGCTAAATGGCACTGTTGGAACAGCTGAAGGCCATGTGATGGCCTTTTCTTAAATCAAGGTTTTTATTTCTTGCTGATTTCTATTGTTATTAGAAAACCACTTGGAGTATTGTGTCAGTGTGTGGCTAGTAGCCAGACGGGTGTGGAGTTGAGGGTTACTGTGGCTGGTGCTTTACACAGTGTGTGTCCTCTGGCATGGCCAGGTTAACCCAGGAGGTGTTGGAGTTCCTGACCGGTGCTTTGCATCTGCTCAGGTGTAGGAGCAGAGCCATATCTTGGCTTGTTGTCAGCCCAGATATGATGGAAGAAAGATGTGGTGAAGGAAGAACGTGCTTATGCAGAGCATGGTTTAAAACCTGGTAGATCTGCGCATCGTCTTCTTGGGCAGTGTTCTCATCAGGGGAAGAGACGTGGTTGGGGGAGATGTTGGGGATCAGTCCACAGACCATGTGTCTGGGCTTCAGTCACTGTGGGATGGCTTGGAACATCTGCAGAACCCAGGTTCAACCAAGTTATCTGGGTTTCCAGGGAAAGAGGTGGAAGTTGAGGGTTTCACTGATCAGTTGAACCTGGACTTAAATGCTTCTGTAGGGCTGGCAGGATGAGAATTACAACATGAAGAAATCAGGACAATGCCTTGTGCTGAATGTGGTTGTGTTTAGGGGCACACATGTTTACCAAATGTGTGAGGTGTGTAGGCATGCCAAAACCCGTTTATTCACGTGTTAAAAATGGAAGATGTCTGTGTAGCAATCTCTGTTGTGCTGTATAGAGTAGGAATCTTGCAGATTATACAAAGAGGTGCTTGTGATGCCTGATGTAGGGAACAAATATAGATTGTTCATGAAGACATTCCCTTACTCAACCCCTGAGATTCTTGTCAGGAGTTAGCCCAGATGATGCCTGGCTGGCAGCATTAATGCTATCAGATCTAATTTAATTCCTGTGTTGCTGCAATTTCTGGGAGCGGGAAATGAACCTCTTTAATTTTGAATGAGAACAGAGCTAAACTGACTTTAGGTGAAAGAGACTAAAAGCTTGAAGCTTTGGAAGCGTGCTTCCAGGAGCAATCTCTGCCAGGCAGTGGTTTGTAGATGATGCTGAATGTTTCTCCCTGGTGGTGGTAGCTTTTGTGTGCTAGGCTCTCCTCTCCCCACCATTCAGACACTGTGCAGGATAGTCACAGCAAATTCTTACAAACATAATCTAAGTTAATGACTCTTTGGGCCTTCTCAAAACCTAATTGGATTAAAAAATGTCACGTTCTTCAGTTGTTTGATTTAGTAATAATGTCATAAGGATGCTGGGTCCAGATGAAGTTGCAGATCTGGACAGTGTCGTTAGCACACACTTCTATTACTGGGAGCATGCAAAGGCTTAAATATTCCATGATTGTTGATCCTTGGAAATAGTGTAAGCAGAGCCATGTATTCAAATACAAGTGGAAACCTAGATGTAGTACAGATACTGCGCATGTATGTGTGAGTAGGTCTGTAAGTTAGGCCCTGAAAAGGAGGAGGCGTACAGGTTTTGCAGGTTGCATTGATTTCTTCTGGAGTATCGCCTGCTGTGTGGCTGGAGGGAGGGAATGCAGGCTCTGCTGTGGTTCCACTAGGCTGCAGAGAACTGAGGAGACAGACATGGTGAGAACCTGAAGTTCCTCACACATTTGTCAGCAGATGGCAGCAGTCAACCGTGTAGAGCACTTGGACAGAGTGAGCTGTGCTTTCTGCACACGCACACGTAACTGTAATGAGTGTAACTCTCCACCTGGATGGCTTTTGTATTGCAGCCCGCAGAAGCAGCCCATGCAGGAGCTGAAGCAGCTGGATCTGAAGCAGCAGCTGGAGCTGAAGCGTCTAAAACCGAAGCTGATTCGGGATCGGTAAGCCTCAAGATAAAGCAGTCCCTTTATGTCCCATCATGTCCTTTTGTTGTACAGCAGACATGCGGGATGTTGGGCTGACAAAAGACGTGTGTGATGGCTTGGGAAAACACATCCCTGCCACTGCAGCACCTACAGTGGTCTTAGTCAGAGGCCAGAGGTAGCTGTTGTGTTTTCCCTGTGTGATACTTAGGGAGAAGCTCAGCTGGAGGATCCCAAAAAAGAACAGTCTCTTCACCCATGCCGTGAAGCCAGCCCATGACCTGTGCTGTGCTAAGCTTGTGTTTTCTGCCTGGCTCCTTCTTGCCCATCATTTACTTTTTCTTTTGTGGGCTCTGCCTGTAACCCCTGACTAGCCAGGTTTCCACTCTTCTTCTGACACTATCAGCGTTCTTAGGAGCTGGAGTAGGTCCCATCTTGTGGTTGCTCGGTTCCTATAGACTGTCACATGTCAGTTGTCATTTCTACACGGGCTTTACAAGGACTGCAGTAAATGGAAAATGGTAGCTAACATGGTCCCAGAAAAATGCTCTGAATCCTCCTGCACTTCTGCAGCCTTAAGCACAGGAGGGCAGTGGTCACCTCTCCTGCCCTCTCGCTGCTGCCTTTGCTGTCCTTTCGGTTGCTTCCATCACTGCCTAGTGTGCTGGGAAAACCCACTGAATCCTTGGATAGTGTTGGGAGACCCAAATAGGTTATGGTTTTGATGTGTATCCTCCAGGGTGGGTCTAGGAGCTGCCATTTGGGATTTTCCTTTCTCAGTGATGTTTTTCCTTTCCTGTCTGCTGCCTTTCAGACCTCTCTGCCTGCTGTTGTTGTGGAAACTTTCCCTGCTACTGTCAATGGCACCGTGGAAGGAGGTGCTTCCTCTGAAAGAGCTGACATGCCCCCAGGATTTCTGTTCAAGGTGAGTGCATGCTGGTGGGACACTGAGTCTCTGACATTTTTTTCTTGTAACAAGTTAACTACTTTTGCTCAGCGTGGCCATGGGCTATGTCACATTGAAGGGCCTTGGTAGCAAGACAGCACAGATGCATCATGTCCTGAACGTGAGATATGGCACTCTCCTTTTTTGTTTGCCTAACCTGCTACAGGAGTTCTTTTCTTCTGCTTAGTTATGTCCCTGTACTGCTTTTTCAGGGAAATCTGCTGAAAGCAGGAGGGTTGCAAAACTTTGAGGAACCATAGGAGGCTCATCAAATTCAGACAGGTTACAGGCAGCACTATAGACTGCAGCAGTTGAAGCGGAGGGTTGTGGCTTGAAGTAGAAAGGCTGTAATACAGATGTTGATAGGAGATAAGACGAGTACAAAAAAAAACAACAAAACATGACAAAATACAATCACTTGAAGATTTGAACTGATGCTCTTACCTATGTTTCCTCTCCCTGCTTAGAGGTGGGAGGCTATAATCACTAATACTCTTGAAGTCCAGCTGCAAAAATAATACAGGACACCATTTGAGTGAATACAGACTTTCTGTCATGTGAGGCTTCAGGGCTGTGTTAACAAGCATGTGGCTCTCCTCTCCTTTCTCTGCAGGTTCAGGCCATGCATGATTACACAGCCACTGACAGTGACGAGCTGCAGCTGAAGGCCGGAGACGTGGTGCTCGTGATTCCATTTGAGAACCCTGAGGAGCAGGTGAGCAGAGAAGACAGGGTGCGTGCCTGGGCTGGGGTAAGCCAAAGGGATTTCTGGAGCTGCTTCTTCCTCCACTAACAGCCTGCTGGCTGGGTGCAGAGCCATCAGTTTGTGGCTGGGAGCTGGCTGGAGAGCCGGTTGTCCTTGTCCTTGTCCTTGCTTCCCGCAACAGAGGAGGACTCTGCTTGTGAATCAAAAGTGGAGACCTTATTCTGTGTATAGCATGTGAAGTAGCTGTGGCTTTCTGCCCTTAGAAGGGCATTTGAGTCAAGGCAATGGCTTTCTTGACCAGGAATCCTACAGAGCCCATACCTAGCTCCTAAACTTGATGAACATTTTCTGTGACCACTGCAGTGCAGACTGTGGTGTTGGCCCAAAGCTGACCACAGCCTGTGATGATGTTTTTCTCCCCTTTTAAGAAATGCTGAGGCTCTGAGAAAGAAGCTTGCTTAGGGTCGGTGTGCTACGCTTCAGCATAGCAATGCCTATTTCTAAAAGATTGTGTTTGGTCAGGAGATGGCAGCAGAGCCAAAGATGTGAGCAGGATTCCCAGCTCCACGGAACACTTCCCCTGTCCATCTTCAACGTGGATTTAACTGGCAGTGTTTTTCTTTAATCTCAGTTATTTCTGAAAGCCTTGAGTAAATCCTCCTCACTTGCTATGTTTGAGGGCTTCCAGCTGATAGAGACTGCTGCAGCTTTATTATTTTGCCTGAGAGAGGTGGTGATTGTGTAACATTCATTCTCAAGTCTCCAGGTTTTTGTTTGGAAAAGGAAGGGAATTCTCCAAATTGATTCAGAAGTAACCAGCTCTTTGGTTTTGGCCAAGCCCAGACAAAATCTGGATTCCACAAGGGGTGTGAAGGGAAGGTGTTGTGCACTGGCCACAGGACATGTGGATCCTCTGTGGCTCAGCTGTTGCCTTTGTGAACTATGGGGTCAGATCTTGCTGCTGCTTGTGAAATGGGAGCTGTAATATGCCGGCAGTTCCCACAGAGCTGATGCTCTGGGTGGAAGGGTTGTATGGGGAAGAAGCAGTGATTCTTTCTGGAGACAACTCTTCACTGGGTGGGACTGCCCTGCATAAGCATTTGTGAGCATTTCCTTCTCAGAAAGCTTTCTGGACAGGAAATGAGGGGCAGCTCCCCTTCAGTGGTAGGAGATGGCATTTGTGGAGTGGAGTTTTTCAATGCCCTATGTTTGCACTCTAGCTGGATGTGGGTGCAACAGCCATGAACTCGAGACTCTCCAAGCTGCAGAGGGTGAGCTCTGAGTGTTGCTAACATGATGCTGTAGCTGCACTGAAGCCCTCTAACCCTCCTACAGTGTACTGTGTGCTACAGCTCATTTCCCTAACCCTGACCAAACCCAGCCAGACAGCATTGGCTGTTAACATGTGCATGAACTGTGCACGTGAGTGGAGGAAGCTTAGGATAATAGGCTGTGATCTGGGTCTCTGTCTTGCAGCTTAGGTGTCGGTGTTCATCAGGCAGGCTGGGATTTATTTCTTCTTGATAGAAGGAGTTAAAGGCAGCAGTGCTTCTAAGCTGGCACTTCAAATGACGTTGTTCAAAATAGGCAGGGGTCAGTCTGGGTCCTGGTGCCTGATCCCTCCAGCTGAGGAGACCCTTGGTAGCAGGATGCCGTGGGAGTGATGCATGCTGTATGGCACAGATGCTACATGCAAATGGATGAGCTTTTGTGCTTGCTGTGCTGTTAGCTGGAAGATGCCTTCCAGGCACTTGCGCCCAGCACCTGCCACCTAGTTGTTTGTCTTCCTGATATATGGCATGTCAGTCCTTCTGCAGCCCCTGCAACTGGCTGCTGCAGATGGGCTCCTGTCTCATGCCATTCCCATGACATCCCCTGAATGTTCAACTCTGAGACAGCAGCAAGGGCTGGCTGAGCCTCAGGCACCCAGTGCAGCCTGCATGGAGCAGGGAGCTCGGTACAGTGGCTGGTCTGAGCTGCTGCCATGTGAAATGCACAGAAAACAGGACAAGGGCAGAAGCTATAAAATGGCAGCGGAAAGCCATGCATGCCCTGTGGATCTTCCCCGGTGTGAGGGCTGCTTCACTCCTGCACCGTGCAGGTATGTTTTTAAAGAGTATGTTTCAAGGGAGGCAGTGCTTGTCCTTGGGTAAATTCACAGGTAACTCCTGCCAGTTCCACGAAAGAAGTGTGAGAACAACTGTTTGAGCTGCGCACATGCATGCCCTGTATCTCCACGGCTTATAGCATCTGGTTTCCTGAGCGTTTCTGCCCTGGCAAGTTATGTAGCTAAATGGTGTTGATGTATCTCTAAATGAGTCTGGTGTATACTTCGCTCAGAGGAGCAGATGCAGAGCAAGCTGTTAAGCTTGGAGGCGGTGGTCCCCCATGCAGCTCCATTGCCTCGTGCTGCATTCCTGCCCTACAGGCTGCCCTCCTGCAAAAGGCAGACATGAGTGGCACTTGGAAGCTGCAGGGGTGGCATTGTGGAATCTGCGAGCTCCTAGGCATGCAGACAACAGGGCAGCCACACACCTGAGCTACAAACAGTGCAGCCTTCCTACCTCGAATATCTCATTTCCCTCCTGAGTAGAAATCTTGGTGCTGGGCGCACTGCAGAGAGCAGGGAGATTGTGGGAAGTCCTGGCTCTCCTGCTGAGCAAGTCCTACTGGGCAGGGCTCCCTTTGCCTCACTCAGTGAAAATTGATCCCTGCTTATGGATCTGGAGGATTAGCACCAGAACAAGGGTGAGCACTCCCAGGGAACAATTCATCCTTTCCAAAGACCCATGCCCAAGATGGATGGGATGAATTGCCCTGTGGAGGTGCCCATCTCTTTTCTGGTGATGGAGAGTGCCACCACCACCACCCAGCACAAGAAGGACATGGGAGTATTAGAAAAATTCCAGAGGAAGGCCGCAAAGATGATCAGGGGGCTGGAGCACCTCTCCCATGAAGACAGGCTGAGGGAGCTGGGGTTGTTCAGCCTGGAGAAGCAAAGGCTTCTAGGAGACCTTATAATGGCCTTCCAATACCTAAAGGGGGCCTACAGGAAAGCTGATGAGGGACTCTTGGTCAGGGAGTGTAGTGATAAGACAAGGGGTGATGGTTTTAAACTAAAAAAGGGTAGATTTAGATTAGATATTGGAAAGAAATTCTTTACTCTGCAGTGGTGAGGCACTGGACCAGGTTGCCCAGAGAAGCTGTGGCTGCCCCATCCCTGGAGGTGTTCAATGCCAGGCTGGATGGGGCTTTGAGCAACCTGGTCTGGTGGGAGGTGTCCCTGCCTATGGCAGGGGGTTGGAATTAGATGGTCTTTAAGGTCCCTTCCAGCTCAAACTATTCCATGATTCTATTTAGGTGGTAAAAAGTAGGGCAGGTGGTTCCCATCCCATTGCCCCAGAGAACTTCTCCTGCTTTACTGGGGGTAAATTATGACATTTCTATTGCACTTGCTGATTGTTTACAACATTTCACTGCCTCCAGACACTGGGTCAGATGAGTTTTGGTATTGACTCTGGTGGGGAAGTGGCCTTCTCTCTTTTTAAAGAAAACAATATCATTCTTCTCCTTCTCCCCCATCCTCTACCTGGATCGTCTCCAAGCCAGCTATGAGCATGGCTTTGATGTGCCTTGACATCTCCTTGGCCTGCACTCTTTGAAAAATCCCCACTCTTGTTTATTCCTCAGTGCCTGATCTCTGTTTTTTCCTCTAGGACGAAGGATGGCTGATGGGTGTGAAGGAGTCTGACTGGATCCAGCGTAAGGAACTGGACCAATGCCGAGGGGTTTTCCCTGAGAATTTCACAGAGCGGGTGCAGTGAAAGCCCAAGCCCACCGGACACATTTCTGCTGGAAGAAAAAGAAAATTTTCTGGTAGAGAATTGAAAAAGAGCAGCAAAATGAAAAGAAGATAATTTTAACGGAACAGAAGCCTGAAAAAAATTGTCAACTTAAAGGGTGTGTGCTTTTCAAAGGGCAAGGTTTCAGAAGTAAATTGCAATTCAAAGCATTATCAATATATATGAATACTACTACTACTAAGGCAAATCAATTACCTTCTTCCCCCTTTGGTTTAACAGCATTAGGATTCAGAGGACTGACACAGAAGCAGCTCAATGTGGTTCTGTAAATACTGCATTGACTGAATTGGTGAGATGTCAGTCTGATCCCTGGAAAGCAGCATTTGTCTAAAAAGAGAGTAGAAACTGCATTTGCTCTTGGGTGGGTTCATCTGTTTTGTCTTGAAGGTGGCTTGCATGGCAACCATAAAAATTCAGCCTTCCCCACGTGTTCAACCTACAGTAGGCCAAACTTTCTGTTAATGCTGTTGAAAAAAAAAAATTAGTGTATAGTGTTCACCAATACAATGTATGTGTGTGCGCGTGTGCATTTATTTTATTCCTTTAAAACAGTGTTACACAAACTGATTTTATACAAGTAAAGACAGAAGAAACTACACAGTAAGGGCATGGAGGTGAAATGTGTGAAGCTGTGCTCAGTTCAAAATTCTTTCAAATGCAAGCACCTACACTCTCACGGTAGTGTATTGGCCTGGAAAAAGCTAAGGAGAATGAAAAAATTAAATAAACAAGACAAAATGAGCAGATGGCATTTTAGATGGCTCTGAAATTTAGGAAAGGGAATCCCCTGCCTCCCAAACCCTGTAGACAGTTTCAGAAAAGCTTAGATTCACATATATGGAAGATAGCTCTCAAATCTGTATGGTTAGAAAATGTGCTTTTAAAGAAAGACAAGGGAAGAAAACTTTTCTTCTGAAAGAATGTCTAAGAAAAAACACTGAGAAAAAACAATTTGCTGTCTGTTTTTAATTGGCTTTTTTTTTTTTTTTTTTTTTTTTTTGTGGAATAGTATTTCTTATTTTCCTTTGAAGACTTCTGTAAGTGAAATACTGTTAGATCAGCTTTCTCCAGTGCTGTGCTGGTGATCAAGTTAACCTCTAAGAAAACTGGACTCTTAAAGTACTCCTTTAAAATGGCTGCATGACTTCTCGATGTTTTAATGCATTAGAAGAGGAAGGAAGAATATCAAAGTGTCAGTGTCAAGAAGATACCACGCAGTCTAATACTGATGCTGAGACCTTTCCTTGACCTTTCCTTTGCTCCTGTTTTGTTTTGTTTTGTTTTGTTGTTTTTTTTGTTTTGGTTTTTTTTTGTTTTTTTAAGTTTAAACAAGCAGATGACAAAGCTGTTTCAAAGTGCGTATTACAGTTGTTAAAATAAGCCGGTCTGACCCTCCAAGACTCTGTGAAGTCCTACAAAGGTACTTTAAACTTTACTTGAATACTGATGCAGCTGGCAAGCAGGTCAGGCTATTATTATTTTTTTAATGGCTTCCCACCCTTTACCCCATGATCTTTTTTTTGCCTTGAAGGGATTTTTAACAGTGAGGTTACCTCCTGCTGTAAAGGGACAGGATCACTCTCGGAAATAATCTTCCTATATCCGTTAGCAGCTGGCTTTCATCAAAGAAGCATGGAATGCTGACACACACTACTAAAAATCCCACCTTTTCTGATCTGCTTTGATTACTTGTATGACAACAGAAAAAAAAAAAAAACATAGGGCAAATGTGGATTTTTTTATTTTTATTTTTTAATTTTAGTTGAGAGAGGTCAGATTTTGATCAAAAGTATATTTTTGTAAATGCAGGAAGTGCTGGAGTTCCTCCAGCTTTCGTCTTGGAAGAAGACCTGTGTTAGTTATTTACAGCAATATAGCAAGTGTCAAAATCTGTCCTGTATACCCCTTCCTCCCCCACTTTTTTTTTTTTTTCTTTTTAATAAACTTGCAGGAATTTGTATTGTACATCACTGTTAAAAACCCCAATAGTATTTAGGAGTAATTGCTCACAGTACAGAAGGACTGGACTCCACACATTATAGTATGGTGAGCCATTGCTTTAGAATACTGCCCTGTTACATTGCTTTTTTTTTTTTTTCACCAGGGTTGTCTTTATTATTACTTTTTCTTTCCAAAGTATCTATTTTTATGCGTTTGTGACTCCCATTACTCCTTTTAAAGAATATTCATAGAAAAATATGCATTTAAATATACATAGAAATATATATATATTAAAAAGCGGGTTGAATCCAATTAACATAATGCTGTCAGCTTAAAATGTTTATTTTTATGCAAAACCTGTGGATTATTGTTTTTTAAAAAAAGACAAGATTCTAAGTACCAGAGCTGTGATTTTTTTGTCTTGCAAGTAATTGTTCTAGAACGTTTAAAAAGCTGTGCTGATACCTAATTTATTGTTTGTTGTTGTTTTTTTTTCTTTTTTTTTTCTTTTTTTTTTTTTTTTTTGCTATTGTTTATAATGTCTTCTGCTGTGTTTAAACCAGATGACTGTCCCAACAGAAATCCTTGTAAGGCCTTTTCATTTAATCGAGCTTGCAAAGCAACTATCCAGTACTGTATTATCCCTGCAGAAGTGGTAACGCTCTGCAAAAAAGGGATGTTGTTTTCAGGTCACATGGTTGATGCTCGAATATTGCTAGTGGGGTTGATGTTGCATCTTTCTCCATTTGCTTCCCCCTAACGCCAAAATCGCAGCCCCCAAAAGCCCTTGCTTAGAGCAGGTAGCTTGGGTAACCTAGATGTTGCATTGCTCGCAAATTGGTGCACGTCACATCACAGATTCTAAAAATGCAGGATCGGGCCTGCACTGTGTAAATTGCCTTACATGAGAGTAGGATGGCATGGCAGGAAGCTTGTAGATGGCAGTGTTCTTTGGAGCCAGGACGTCTCTTATCTCCTGGATTATGTTCAGCCCATAACAGGCACAACTCCTCTGATTTTCAGTATTTTTTCATCTACTAAATACCTCGATTCTGGTTGGTATTACCTGGTGAAATAAAATTCCCATTTTCTTTGGCTTAGGACTGATTCAAATAGAAAGAGGGGCAGTAAACTCCCAAGTAGGCTGTGCCCACTGTTTTTTCAGTTTGCAGGCTGAACTGAAAAACCTGGGGAAAAAAAAGCTGTAAGGGTAACCTGAAGTTGTAAGGGTGACCTTGAGACAATTTTTTTTTTTTTTCATTTTGTCAGTGAAATGAAAAAGGGAAAAATCAAAACATAAACCAATACTTTCAAACAAAAATGAAACATTTCATTTTTAGGGTTGCTTTTTCACTTTTTTAAAACCATTATGACTTGGGCTATAAAAAGTTGCTTTGAAGCGCAAATGTGAAACCTGTTCTGCAAATGCTGAAAGAAAATGTTTTATCGTTAATAGTCTTTTTGCCTTTGCCTTTTTTTCTTAGTCTGATGAATAGTTTCAGTTAACCCCAAACTGCATTTTTTGGTGAATCCATTATCCATTGAAGAGAACCCAAAGAAGCCTATTGCCCGGTTCTGCTCCACTGACAGGTACACTGGATGCATTTCAAGGATTACCTGGTATCTAAAACCAGCAAACCTGCTGTTTCCCCATATTCTACTGGATTGTTTTACTGGGTGAACAATAAAAGCATCTCTCAGCCCTTGCTATTGACTGGTTTTTAGCCTGACTTAGACATTCGTTATCAATCTCAGTTTGGTCATGGATTTATGGCTGTAGATATGACACTTCTCCTATTTGAGCCTAATCCCATTGTGCAGCAAGAATTATCATTTGCCCAAGTGATGAGAGAAATAAGGCATTGTTCTTTCTCCCTTTTTATCTTTGTCTTAGCAATGTCAGTAATAAATCTTTACTAGGTGGAGTCAGGGAAAGAGGTCCCAGGGTGAAGATGAATGCGCTGTTCCAGACTCCCTCCTGCTCTGTTTCTTTCCATGGGCAGTCCTCAGCTGTCTGCTTTTGCCACCTTTGCCCTTCTTGGCTGTAGAGGTCATGGAGCAAAAGGGATTGTGCAGGCTTCATTCCAGGTGCGCAGAGTTAGTCCAGCTTTGTGGTCTGTTTGCCACGCTTTGTGGAACCACTGGCTCTGTGTATGCCGGTTGTAGTAGCAGGACCCTGTCCTGTTGCACTATCCAAAGACCATACCCAAGGCAAACAGCCCCAAGTCAGAGGCGTCTTTTATAGCCTGGAGCAGGTTGTAAGAGCTTCATATTCTCCTTGGAATCAGGGTGTCAGCTCAGTTTAGTTTTTCATCAGCCTTTTGAAAGGAAAAGGCCCAAGGCATTTATCTTCCGCTCCCTTAGTGTGGCTGTTGGCCCCACTCAGAGTATGACCTTGAGGTGCAGTTGCCAGAGATACTACAAAATAGGTGAGAGCAAAAATCGCACAAATAGTGGGGTGCCTAAGGTCCTCTTGACTTCAGAAGTCTGTGTCTTTCAGACTGCTTCCCAACCTCTTTTGTGCTCTTTGAGGTTGATGTTAACATAAGGCACCCTCAACCAGCTTGAAGCTAGAAGATGCAAAAACTTCAGCAAATCCTGCATAGTGCAGCTTGATAATGCTGATAGCAGGAAAACAAGCAAAAGCTTTTCTTCTCTGGGCTGCCAAAGGAAGGTGTTTCATGCCACATAGGTACCATCACAGCTAGTGCTGTCGCAGGCACCTCTGCTTGCATGCTCTTGGACATTTCTGAGTAGCAAACTCCTGACAGAGAAGGGTGCTGGGCTGTGTCACCAGCCCGTGTAAGCTGGCACATGGAGGCTGAGAATTCGAAGGCCAATTCAGAAATTGTATTTATGAAACTAAGTGGAGAAAAACTACAGCTGTTAAGACTGATCTGTATGAGTTTGTATTTTGATGTGTCTTCTGGCTATAATTCCTTCACTTGTTTTTTACAGTGTATTCTGCTGTTCCTGTCTCTAGTCTGCATTTCACCTAGATGCTCCCTACATGAAACCTGCCAGATGCAGGTCTGGGCTTATTGCTTCTCTTTAACTGAATCAAATTGCAACGACTTTGGCAATGTGCTGGCAATCTCTTTTCCTTCTGTTAATTCAGTGTCTGGGTTTAACCACCATGATGTGAGAAATGTTTGGATTTTGGGTGTTGTTTTTTTTTTTTTTTTTTTTTTTAATTATTTTAATTCTTGTTTTGTTTAAACAACGCTGAACAATTCCCATTGTATTCAGAGCTGTGATGCCCAGTTTCAGTGACAAGTACTAGATGGATTTGTCCCATTTTGTTTCTTGGCAATGTTCAGAAATACAATTTGTGTCATCCTAAGTCCTGTGTCAGTTTCTCTCTATTTTCCCCACCTGAAAACTTCAGAACAATTCAGGACTTCTCCTTTCTCCTGAAAGAGGTGAGTAACCTCAAAGAGCTGGGTTTGGCCACGTGCTATTGATGCTGGGAGTTTGTACGAACACGTGGGGTGGAAAGGGTGCTGCTGGTCCTCCCCTGAAGGAGTTCAACAGCAGAAGAAACTGCTCCAGCAGCAATCTGTTTGTTGGAAGGAGCAGGCACCAAGTGAGTTCAACTTAGGGAAGGATAGGAGATGTTTGCTTTTTAATAGCTACTAACCCCGGTGTGGTGATTTTTATGCTCTAAGGCAAGTTTGTTGATGGGAATGTGACGCCAAATGGGTGTCCTACCCCATACGGCCAAGCGTGTCCCAGCTCCCTTCTGCCCATTGGCACTCTTGGGGTAGCTCTTAGTTTCCAGGCTTGCTCTAGGGCCTGCTTTTTATTGGGGAGATTTCTTCATGTGTAGAAAGGGAGTGATTCCGTCCTTCAACCAGAGTGCTTTGGGATCCTCTGAGGGAAGGGATTAGAGAGGGATTTACTCTTAGAGCTGACTGTTTTGGGGCCATTCTCTCAGATACCTCGTTCCAGACAGGCTCAGTGCAGCAGCATGCAGGGCACGGCGTGTAAACAGCCAGCGCTGGCCAAAGGTTGGAATATGATCTGATGCACACCGGTGCCAATTAGCGCTTTGATGAATGGACTGCCAGGCTCTGCTTTAGCATGCAGGCACACAAGCCTCAGAGCCAGCATGGGGAGCAGGCCAGACTGTGTTTGTGTGGTTCCTTCGTTTCCAGACAGCACGGAGGGTTTTACTGCCTTTAGCCTCTCACCTCTGCGGCACTCAGATGGACCTGAATTGAACCCTGCAGCAGGCACAAGGGAAGAGGCAGGCTGTGCACCTGAAATTGCTGCTGCAGCTGGTGGCCGCGTACAGGCTGCAGCTGTGTGAGCCCTGGCAGCGTGCTGGGGCAGGAACCGGCTTGTGAGACCCCGGTCAGCCCCGAGAGTCCTCACCACGCTGCAGGAGAGCTGGGCTTCACCCCAGGAGCCTCTACAGATGGAGGATGCAGGAGGTGAGGCTGGGTGCCTGGGTGCTGACAGGCCTGGATGGGAATGCTGTGGAAAAGGGTCGGGGTGCCAGTGCCCAACTTGCAGCATGCAGCTGCTCCATGGTGTCCCCATGTGAAGGGAGGAGAAGTTGCCACCAGGGCCATCCTTCAACCTTGTGATGCCACACACTGCCCAGGAGGACCCCATGACAGGGAGTTTGAGCCCAGGTGCTCCAGAGGGGAGCTGGGAAGCCCCTCTCTGACCCAAGGGGGAGATGTGAGTTTGGGGCCGCTCTCCACAAAGTCTCCTCTTTGCTGGCTGGGTGCAGCGGTGCCCTTCGCAGAGCAGGACTGCTGCTTCAGCAGGTGGGGGACCCTCTGCTGCCCGCCTCAATCCACAGAGCCATTAATAATGGTGCAGGAGCAGGAATTCAGCAAGTGCCCGTGATTAATTAGCTCATCACGGGCAGCTAATGGCCTGGCCTGCTCCCCTTGGCCCCATGGTGCAGGTAATGGAGTTGGCATCGCTCATTGCTGGGCTGGGAGGCAGCCAGCTGCCGGGAGCAGTGGGGAGGATCTGCAAGCTGTTTCAGTGTGTGGCTGAGAGGCATTTTGTGATTTATTTTTTTTTTTCTCTAAATCCAAGGGGATAGATCTGTTGGGGGTTGCTAGTTATTTAAGCCAGGTACCCAACTCTCTCCACTGTTTGTTTTTGGAAATTCCCATCTGTGTTGCTTGACTACAGGTGCATTTAAGCTGGAGGTCTGATGTTTGAGCAGGGGAGAGGAGGGTGGTCAGCATGAAGGCCCCCAGCAGATGGTAAACAACATGGTGCCGTGGTAAACAGCGAAAAACTGAAGGTCACAACCACAGGGGCACAGAAATCAGAGTCGGAAGTGATTTTTTTCCAAGCCTAGGCTACTGCATCACTCTCTGGCCAGGGCATGGTCTTGTACCAGCTTCTCTTTCCCTGGCAGTGGCTTTATCCCATGCCCTGCCTGCATTTGGGAGCACACACGCTTCCCGAGGCTGAGCAGTTTCTTTGCGTGCACTTCTGCTTGTCTGGGCTCTTCCTCATGAATTCACACAGCAAAGCAGGTGCCAGGCACCTGGGTGGTAAAGCCATGCAGTAACGAGGACGTGTGAGCGAGACTGGTTTTGGAAATCCAAGCGAGGTGAATCAGTCCCTTCCACAGGTAACCCTTTCAGGCAGGGGCTGAGCTCCACCAAGTAGAGATGATCTCCTCCCAGCTGCATGCAGTGTGGTGGTAGAAAGAAGAGCTCTAGAAGGAGTGTAAGGTATTAAACTGCCCACGCTCACATCGTTTGCTCCATGTGATGCAGTCTGAGGTGTGAAATAAATGTGATAGGACCAGTGCTGTCTGTGTGCCAGTGAGAGGAGCAGTGCAAGCCTGTTGCCTTGCATCCATCCTATGCTTGTCTTTTTTTTTGTACCTCCAATTCAGAGATCTGTGTGAGCCTCTGAGATCAAAGAGGACTGTTTATTTGCTGGCCTACTGGTGTGACTCCCCCTCTCTTACGTCCACTGTTCAATTCTATTAGAGACTGCTTGAAAAGTCCTGACTATTGATTTTTCAGAATACGGTGTGTTTGCCACTGAAGGTGATGCTGTGGTTACATATGCAGCAATCCTGCTGCACAAAGGCACTCATTAAATCTGAGTCCCCCACCTCAATACAAAACATCCTGGACACCTGATGAACACCGTAAGCATGAAAAATATCTGTGCCCTCTTAAAAAATCTGAGAAAATCTCATGCTGAAAGCATCCATGATGGGAGCAGGCAGGGTGTTTTATCCACTGGGCCACAGATTCTCTCTCACTGGTCACAAAAAGGATCACACTAACCAGAGATGCCTTCAGCCCTCTAAGAGCTTTCCCCACAACCTACACCACAGGCTGGCTTCGCCTCTCTGTGACAAGTGGTCACCTTCCAAAAGCCTCAGCAAGTTGCTCCTGGAGCCATCTTGTGAAGTGAGGAGAAGTGCTCATCTTCTGCCTCCCAAGCCCTCCTTCCTATGGGCAGGCATGTGGGGAAGGCTGCATGTCCTGCCCACAGAGGTAGTGATGTGCCAGAGCAGAAGGACAGTTAGTTTTGTTTATTTTTTCTCTCCCTTATCTGGCAGCTTCCAGTATTGCTAGCTGTGTCTCAGGCTTTCTGCAAAGCAGATGCTGTTGCTCTTTCCCATGTGATACAGACATTGTCTTTTTGCAGGACTATGAATTGTTCCTATCCAGTAATCTTATATGAAACACTATTCTGCATAGTAAAGAAAAATGCAACTGAAGTTGGCAATTAAATGTTTACTGTTAAGTACTTTATATATTATATATTATAGATCATTCCATCCATTGAACAAACCATTTAACTCCCTTTAACAGCATTATTGTCTATTATTAGGTTAATCAGCATTCACATCCTGTAACTCTGCATTTCTATCTAATTAGCCTTTCTTTCTTACTTCATATTTGTATTTAATTAAGCTCAGCGTCAGAGCCAAATTCTCTGTATTCAGCACTATGAGAAGAATTGACCCTTCCAATGTTTGGGGGGGGGCAATCTCCCTCCTCACAAATGCCCGTTGAAAACTTTTCTGCCCCATCACTAACCAGCCCCTCCTGCTATTAATGTGCTATCAAAATGATTTCATTAAAGGTTAACTTAACAGTTATTCACTGTTTCCTACTATCAACACTTGCAGTTGGGTGAAATCTGGGCATCCAAAGCAAGAGGTAAAGCCCTGGCAGTGCTGGCAATTGACCTGGTGTCCCCTCAGGAGATGACCCCACACTGAACTAGTTTGCGTTATTGCTCAGAGCACTGCTGTGACAAAGGTTTTGGCGCTTCTTTCCCCCCAGCTAAGATAGGTTTGTTCACCAGAAAGGAAGAAATACTGGAAACAAGTGAAAGGTTCACAGATTTTAAAGTCTGGATCATGTCATCTCACTGGGAATTTCATTCAGGCATGCGTTGGGTAAGGAGTTAATTTTCTTTCTGGCTATAATGGCAGGGAGTTTGTGTTGTGAGGGGCTCATGCTCTGGATGTTGGGATATGGACAAGACGCTGGGTGCAGCTCACTCTGTCCCACCCAACCAGGGCCACAAAGTGGATGCTGGTGTTTCCACTCTCTTGGGCTCTGCGTGTGGGTTTCTGTCAGTAAGCATTGGTTGTATGCGTAACTCTGTGGGCCCCATTTGACAAATCTCTGTAGAGTTGCTTGGGCATCAATCTCTAACTGGTGTGCTAGTTATCTGCGGGGCACAGTGCCAGCTGGGGTGCCAGTTATCTGACTGAAATGGAAGCATGTGAGGAGGCCACGATGCTGTGCACCAAGCTGTGTGAAGCTAGGCTGGGATTTTAGTGCTGCTGCGACACTGCAGATTCTCTCATGCCTGCTGATAGTATTTTGGCACACGTGTGTGCTCTGCTCTCTTAGTCCCCATGCCCTGGAGTCTGTTGCAGGGGGCTGCCAATTGTGATCTCTCCCCTACAGATGTTTGTGGGGGATCCCCAAGGCGCCCAGTGTGTCAGTGTCCCTGGAAAGCAGATTAAGGAGCAGCAGGGAACACCTCGCTTGTCACCACTTAGCATCCAGGCTGCAATGGCTTTGAGGAATTGTCTGGGTCCTTCCAGAGTCCCTGAGTGCTCTTTTTGCTAGTACTGAGTCCAGAACAATCAGCAAATTGAGTTCTTTTTATTAACTTTAAAAGAAGACATTAGACTCAGCCAGGAGAATAAAACCAATTTATGAGGCAATTAGCTCTGCAAAAACATTTCAGTCTCCCCAGAGCAGCCATCTGAGGAGCATCTTATTCCATCTGCACAGCCTCTTCTGGCCTTAGGTTTACAGCACACTTCATTTATCATAAATAATAATAATGCATAAACAAATGGCTTCCTGATGCCTG